AAATTGCCTTTGTAATTAAAATTTAATTTAATTTGTCTCCATAATAACTTTAAAGTGGTTTTTTGATTGATGTGCCTATATATTGTTAAATAATCGATCTAAGTTTTGGTACTACAAAGAATTATTTATCTTTAATCATAATAAAAGTTCAGCCTACTAGTTATATTACTACCTTCCTTCTTATGTTTGAAAGGGTTTCGGAGTCGTTAATCCGAGAATGGTGACGAAATCAATAACTAAAGAAAAATATAATTATATTACCTGCCCACGTTGTTGGAACGCTAGGGTGTATACTTATGGATAGCCTTACGTGAACCTGGAGTCGTTGTACGGCAATCACAATTTAATTAAGATAAATTAATTAAATTAATTAACACTTAATACCTGTGTGCATTCAGATAAAAAATGCTAATTTTTAAATTAGGAAAATAAAAGGTTGAATTACAAAGTGAATTAATAAATAAATCGAATACGAGTGATTATAGCTGCTTAAAGTCGGAGCTATTCGAGAGAGATCCTCGAAAGAAGTTGGTGGAGCGTAGTTGTTGCCGTGTGCAGGATTCTCGACAGAGTGTTCGTTTTGGGGTTTCTCGAGGGATTAAGAGGCTTCATTTTCAATTAAAAAAAACCGTTAAATTCTATGTGTTTAAATGTTCTTAATGAAGGTAATGGATTGGATATTGGTTCTTCTCGAACGATAGATAACCACTGGAATTTGTATGCTTAAAAAGACGGAACAGATGGCAATCGCGTCAACGTCGATATAAAATAATTAATAATCGAATTTTGAAAATAAGACAATATACAATAGTATGACTGAGGCGGCAGTGTCCTCAAAGGGCCGCACCAGATGGCATGTAGTTCTATTATATTTGACATATATTTCAATTATTTTGCTTGTAGATAAGCTTGCATCCCTCTCGAATAGCTAACGATCCGTTAGATTTATTAAATTATTTACCTTTTGAAAACTACCAAGTACTCGGCCATATTTAAATCTTTTAGTTACATTTTTGTAATGAAGTCATTTTTTTTATTTGAACTTATTTCAGATTAAAAATACAAAGCCAATAAGCCACTGGTGGAGGTGAAAATAAATTACAAGAGAGAGGGCGATCGCTACATCGCCCTCTCCTTAAATCTACCCCTGGGCACGGCGCGTGGTGTTTAAATAGTTTTGCACTATTTCTCCCTGCCAAAACTAAAAAGTGGACTATCTCGTCAACGGGTTGACGGATATCATAAAATGTCAACATCAAAATTTATTTGAACAAATAATTGAAACGCTGGATGCAAGAAAGGCATTTCTATGAAATGCCTTTCTTGCTTAAAACGTTTTTTTGAACTCAGCGATCTTCATACTTTTTATGTATACAATTTTAGTTCGACATTTTAATAATAGACCACCGTAGAAGCGTTTATGTGATTGTGTGTAAATGTCTTTTTTGCATTAAATCACATACAATATACGTTCTATTTATAAATAATATCGTTTTATTTTTCAATGATTTAAACATAATATTATAGTAGAATATCCTTGCTGTTTGTTATAGATTAATAGGTTTGGTTAAACCGTTTTTAAATAAAACTAAGCAATAAGGAATTAAAATAATATTTAAAATTAAAAGTAATAAAACATACAATTTATATTAGAAATTTCATTTCTACTCTTATAATTATTATTATTTATTTGTTTTTTTATTATGTTCATAATATTTAAAAATTATGAATAAATTAATAAAATTCAAGTTCTTTAATCATTTAAATTGAAATAGAATAGGTAATTACTGTTTGATGCAAAGAAGGGTATTTTCATCCATTTCACTTAAAACTTAGTGAACCCAAAGAAAAAGAAAACAAAGACATAATTATTTTCTTTAAGATTCTATCTTTCATATGACACAAATATTATATTCATGTAAGGAGATACGAAATAGTGTCACACATTTGAAAATTTAACTTCGTTTATTTCAAAACACGTTTTTCTAAAAAATGACGTTCTTGCACCCAACCTCTCAATTATTAACGGAATTTTAAATATAGTTTGCCATTTGAATTTCACATTTGAAAACTTAAAAATTACTAAGATAGCTAGGTAACGATACACAGTATATTATTATTGTTTATTATACTAATTTTATTCTCATCAACGACGCTGTGCGACATTGTTAATTGTATAATAATAAATATATATATAAAATAAATGCGTTTGGGTAAATAAAAATTAACTATTTGATTTGACACGGTTTGCGTCCTACACCGTGGAATATGACTATGACACTTGTTTTTATAATTTATATTTCTCTTTAAATTTTTTTTTACAACGTTACTAATTATTAGCTATTGTGAAGTGTTTCGAGCAAAACTGAATTTCAATAACCTGTTGTTCTAGCGCCAGCTCATAGGTAAGAATTTAATTTTTTTTTTTATTGTTAAAAATTAGTAAATTTAGATTAAGTACCTATAGTAAGTACATTTGTATAAACGTATAAAAAGTAACTACTGATTTAAAGCAACACAAATATTAAATACCAACATAATTTTATACATTTATCAATACAATAATATAGTTTTTGAAAAACGGTGTGTAAAACAATATAATTTTGTACATATTTTATATCATTGTAAATATCACAATTCTAAATTTACACTAAAATTTAATTACTTATAAAACACACGTTTTACAGTCACCATGTCAAGAATAGTATTTCTTGAATATTTAAAAAAGTTGTATGCGACGTTTTCGATCCCTCAACTATTGACGGATTATGGCATCGAAGATAAACAATTGGTACCTCCAGTTGTTGACCCGAAAAAATATTTCAATTTAAACCTGATGAAAGGAAAGAATTTTACGCCGCTTTGGTTTCACGACAACACAACATTTGATAGTCTGTTGCCTGAAGACTGGTTGAAAAAAAATTTTCACAACGGAGTTCAAACTCCAGTACCTGCCTACGTTTATTTACCCATCAAATCGGATGACGAATTTACCAACAATTACAAATGGACGCATGCTAATGTAATTAAATATGATTGTGATGTAAACATGTACACAGTTGCCTTGAAGAATAATTCCAATGTAGTATATCCTCAAGTACCTAGAATACAAATACATTTTGAAGGAGAAGATCCAAGAGAATTTGCGAGAAGGATCAAATATGCAGTTTCGAGACGAGATTATTGTGAAAAAATGATGTTGTAAGTTACTTATTTAAATTTTATTTGTGAATTTTTTTTTGAAAACCTGTAGTTAACTTTAATAGTGAAAATATGAATAATGGAATCATCTATGTGACAAGTAAAATGGGAATAAGGGCATCTTGTTACGTAAAATAAACTTAACAATTGGCTATACAAGTTTTCAGGAAGATAGAACTGTTGGCATTTTAAATTTTTTTGATAGATTTTGTAACCATGCTTTAACTATACTCCAGCCCACAAGAGAAGTACACCGTGTCCCGACTAAAATTCGTCCGGTTTTGTGCATGTATACATATCGCAGCCAGAGGCGGTTTTAAAATAAAAACCTAGGGGGTGTATCCAAAAAATTGCAGACTTTATGGTGGGGGGATAGAGATGAGTCAGTGGTTAATTGACAAACATTAGATGTATGCCAATTGAGTAAAATGTGTGTTAAAATCTAAAAATAAAAACATTAAAATAAATTATTTAAGAGTCAATCAAATCTTACAAATTCGAGATTTAATTAGGTTTAAGGTTTATAAACAAATATATATATATTTTAATTGACTGTTTAATCTAACTAACGCTATCGATTTTTTTTTTATATTAAATTTAATAAAAAGCATATGAGTAATATCAAAGGTGTAGGTATAGATTATAAATGAGGAGGGCTCATAAGTTCAATTACTTACCGCAAGTATGGACCTCTTGGAAAAAGAATTTGAATGATGATTTAGGTTCTAGATAAAGTCTTGTTAATGTTTTAAGTTCACTTTTAAAAGAATAGAGAGATTAAAGTTCAAAAATGTATGAATTAGTCAAAAAATAAATTAAGGTACTCAAACTTAAAAACAATTAAAAACTTATAATCTGAAAAGAAAAATAACAAAAAAGCCGCTTATGCTTAGTGTAATAATGTTTAAGAAAAAATTGTTTTTGAATTGATATCTGCTTAAAATACAGAATACTGATGATAGTTTAATATAAGTCAAAAAAAATTAGGTAAGAAATATGATAAGGTATAGTGTTAAAATTTGATAACATATTGCATATTAGTTTGGGTAGGTTTCTACTTAATACTATAATAATGATTAAAGAACATTTATTGAGGAAACAATATGAAACTTGTCAAATTGATTATGAATAATTTATAATTTATTATTTCAAAATAACAGAACATAAGATCTTTAATTATTGCTTGAATGTTTTTTTTTTTTTTTTTTTTTTTTGATTTTTCAAAATTCAATTCTTCTTTGTTTAGTAGAAGACCAAGTCTTTATCACAGTTTAAAATTATTAACGAGTTTGAACGGTCAGAACGTATTATAGAGCATAAAATATGTTTAATCAACTTTAAGCTTAAAGTTCGATCACTTGATACTGTAGTTACTGGAGCTGTAAATACAAGACGATATAACTAGTTTGCCCAAGCAAAGGTTTCTGTAACTCAATTGACTTTTTCATAACCTACATAATTTTTTCATTTTTTCCTTCTTTTTTTTTCTAGTCTATGAACACGTTTTTCTTAGTAAATTTGCTCTGATTTTTACGTGTAGCATTTTTCAAAAAGTTTAAGTTGTCTAGATAGTATTTTAGAGAGGTTATTTTTGGACTTTCAACGCTATTTTTTAAATAAAAGCACATAAGTGGGAAAAACCATAAAAAAAACTTAAAATTTCACGATTTTATTATTGTATATAAACACGGACTACGTGTTCTCCCAAAAAAAAAAAAAATGATTTAATCGAAAAATTACAAGATATCTTTTTTGTTGCCTTTTTGATTTACTTTCTTACGATATCATCACCAACATTTTTGAGCTTTTAGGGAATTTTAATTTTTGGGAGTTTTTATGCTGTTCGGTTATAAATATACGTAGGGATTTGAAACTTGGTAATAATATTTATATTGTACGTACCAAGACGTGGTAAAATTTCCAAAATTTTTTTTTTAATAATTTAATAATTTTTAAAATCAAATTTAAACGAAAACTGCAAAAAAAAATTACGACACTTTAAATTATGTATTACCGAACTGTGCTCAGAATTGTCTTTCGTCAAGCAAGGGTTTATCGTTGCTTATAAAAATAAATGAAATAACCTTATGTATTCTACCTTCTCAACTTCTTACCTACAAGATTGGCCACTCCCATCCCCAGTATCAGCTCTTTTTAATTTCTGATCTTATAGTTTCCAATATTTTATAGTAGTGTTAATTAATATACAGGCATCACATATATTCAGTTCTTTAGCTTCTAACTGTTCTGTTAAATTCTTAAGTTTGTACATTATGTTTTTCATAAACATTAATGATAGAAAAATCAAAATTTAAAATTTTTTTTGAACAAGTATTAATTAACTTATTAACTTTCACCAAATTCACCAGTGGAAGTAAAACGATGTTAAAAATTTAAAATGTAAACATAAATCATAATATTATAGAATTTTGAAATACTTTGTACTATACCCTGTCCAAATTAAGAGTATACCCGGCGGCGGAAGAAAACACGTTCGTTTTCGTGCATGTGTTCCCACTCTCGATTATCAGTACCGTTTCATCTATTCACTCACCTAACAATTTCGTTACCACCATTACACATGGTATATAACATACGTAGAGACCAAAATGTCGATAATATTTTGTTTTAATGGTCTTATTGCGTACACGTATTTTCTAGCACAAATCCTCTGTTTAATTTGAATAAACGCTACAATTTAATTCAAATTTTTCTATGTTACCTGTTAATTTGACCGAAAAAGTATAGGTATGCGTGTATACTACGATTTATTTGACGATAGGTATTATAGGTATTATAACTTGCTGTATACACGACAACGGTGGCCACGACGACAGCGCGTGGCGTATAGAATTGTACTGCGACGGCATAACGATTATTTCCGATCTATCAAGTAGGGGGTCCGATAACATTCAGCGCTCAGTGAGGTATGCGTAAACGGGTATACTCTTAAGTTGGACAGGGTATAGATATAATAGGTATAATAATAATAGATAGGTAATTATTAAAAATGATCAATATTATAGACGGTTTAGTTGGTAGGTAAATAAGGGTCGGGATGAATCAAAACATATCAAGTCATTTATTAGAAAATATTTTTATTCATTATCATAATTTTCAAATTCAGTCTCCGTAGACAATATTATTTATGCCTGTGGTCTATGCAGCGGTATGCGGAAGAACTATTAAAAATGATTAATGATAAATGCAAGACTATGATAGATATTAATTATTTTTTCTATTTATATTACAATCATGATGATAGCATAATAATACAAGTTTATACAACCAATACATTTTAAATGTATAAATAAATGTACAATCATATTTATTTTAATTTATAAATTATAAATTTCATTGCAAGTACATTAAATTAGAGTTAAAATTGTTGACTCATGTCGTTGATTTTAAATTGCCGACTTATTATTTAGTTTTGCAGACATCCGGAAGAGGGAGTGACACCCCCCCCTTAAACCACTCCTGATCGCAGCACATAGTGAGACAAAGTGGGGGAAGAGTTTACTTAGTTTATTTGAGCGAAACGGTGTACTTCTCTTGTAGGCCGGAGTATAATTATATGAAATAATTGTGTGTTTAAGAAAATGTTCTTTAATTTTTATGTTAAAGGTTTTTCATAGACATATCTCTGCTTATCATTACATTAATTATTTTATAGATAACAGATTTTTTTTTTATTATTATTTTGTTTTAATAATTATTGAACAAATAAATTAGAAAATATCACTGCTAAAAATATAGTTCTATATATCTGAAACGTATAATTTCTAAAGTAGATTTGTTTGTTATAGATGGTATATGTATATGGATAAAATCAAGATTGATGACGTTTCGGAAACATTACCAGAAGAAATGATACAGAAAATAATGTCCTTAGTCTTCAGAAATAAAAAAATAAAAAAAACCAAAGAGGATTCCGTAAGGATCATACAAATACTATATACAATATACTATATATTTTTACTGAAGGTCTTCAGCCACGGAAAGAGATTATAAGAGTGAATAACTGAAGTTCTGGGAACTTTTCCCTTCTCGAGTTTAATAATTTAATATATTATTTTGCGTAACATTCATATATTATGCTGTGGATTCATGTATATTTTGTCTATTATTATTTGTTTAATATTTCTAATATTTGATTAAAATAAATAAAATTCCTTCTATACATTTAGTATGGCTGCAGACCTGTACATATTAACGCACAAACAAAATTAAATTTCCGTTATTAAATATATTCTATCAAATTAAACAAAAATAGTTGGGTTCAGATGCATGTAGATGCATAAAATTGATTTAATTTATTTTGTACGTCTTAAACGAATCTCCAAATAAAATTAAAACATTCGTTATCCTTATTATAGTATGTTTCACATTTTGTGCGATTCGAACGAATCTTGTGCGTACTCCATAAGTTTCGTCCACACGTGTGTTCAAATCGCATACCTAGTGTATAAATATCATTATTCATTACTTATAAAAATATTTTTCTCACAAAAATAATATGTTTTTAAAGATTATTAAAGAAATTGTAAATAATTTCAATCGATGGCAGTATTCTTTTTTGCTTCGATTCAAGATTTCTAAAAGTCCGCTTGAATTTAAATACATCGAAGTACCGAATTTTGAATTTGAACATTTAATACCAAAAATTAGTAATTTATATAAATAAATTGTATCAACTATGTATGATCATTTTATTTATTCTTATTTTCTTCATTAATAATAAACAGCACGATTAAATACTGGACTGAGTTTCGAAGACTTCACAAAAATCAAAGCAGCAATTAATAAACAAACCTTGTTAGTTTTACCTCAAGTTCATACAGCTTTATGGGGCTCAAATGTAGAAAACTTATTTTTGATAAACAATAAGCAAATATTTATTACTGAATTTATAAATGCAGTGACACTTGAAGAATTTGAGTCTATACAGTTTATTAATATTAAAACCGTAAGTAATTTTTTGTTTTAGATTCTAAGCATATTGATTATTAATAACCTATTAGTTTTATTATGGTGTGCATTATTTTTCTCTCTATAAATATAACTATTATACCAGAAATTATGTTCAGTTCATAAAATTTAAGGGGCTCAAATTTATTATTGACGAATGTATTAGGTAGGTCATTATTTGATTTTCCTGATATATGTGGGAATAACTGTCGAAAAAAAACAATTATTTACGCAATTTTTGTTATTTTGGAATTTGTTTTTTTCTGTATGTGATTTAGTTCAAAATAATCGTAATTGCATTGGGGGCATCATTATATTTTTCCAGAGAGTGTCAATAATTAAAAAATAATACAATTTTGTTTCTTTATTAAGATCTTTAACCTGACCTTAAAAAGTTCTGGTTGCATCATTGAGCCTCAGTGATCAATAGTTTCGGGTAGAGTGATACTCTATGTGTACCAACAACTAGAAAATACTTAAGATAGGTAAAATCATATATCTAGGTACTCTTGGTTATTATTGAACTTAATATATTAAATAATTCAGCAGAAACTTTTTTTTATTAGTCATGTTAAAAAAATAATTTATTCTTTTAATTCTTTTATGCATAATGAATAATGATTATATTATTATATTATATTATATTAATTGTTTAAACATATTTTTTTATTAGTTAAATATAAATAAAATGAAATTATATATATATATATATATATATATAATCCTTGGATCCTCTGTTATTTTTTCTCTTTCTTGTCGAGTTTCCCCTTTGGGACTGCACTTTTGTAGTCCTATCATTTTTTATTTTTAGCATTTTTATTAGTTATGGTTACTCTTATTTTAAAAATTCCAAGTTGCTCATCTTTGCCAACCACAGAAGTTATTCATCCATATATAACCTCCCACTTTGACTACTTCTCTTACAGGCTGACTTCGACCGATTGGTCACTTGGAGATTGTCTGTCAGGCTGTACCTGAATATTCTGAAGTAATCGATGATGACTTTTCCCCTTCTCTGTTTCTTTTCAATTTCCTTCACCTACTGAATTAATGGGTTTTCTATTAAATTTGCCGGTAACCCTATTACCAATAACCTCTATACATTGTTGCATATCTAAGAGGCCTGCTGTAAATTACTCTGCATTGTCAACCATATTTCTTATGATTTTTGCATCTTTACTCTTCTTAAATCCTTCTACTATGCTAGTGGTTTTTAGAAGGGGTGAAATGGATCCAGTGTAGAGAAAACAAGGAATCCTCGGTGGTGAGAAAAAAAAAATAAGACAATTTGTATTTTTTTAAAATAAAATCGTATTACCATCCGCTGACCCAGTTACCATAAGTCTTATGTTACCTTATGGCATAAGGTAATAAATAGTTGAAAATATTCAAAAATTTCACCATGTAGTTAAGTGCTTTCTAAGTATGGTTATCAATGACTTATAAAATAATTGTATCTAAACAATTGTATTTAATAATTTGGTTAATATTTAGAAAAAATATGTATTATAATATATAACCTAATATAAAGACAAGCATTGATTGCATGGAAAAAGCTAAAACTGGATGGGATGGCTATTTTATATACATTTTATATATATTTTGCATGATTATTTTCTAAGATTTCTCATGGTATTTAGACTATGGCTTACCTTAACAACATTTGGACGAAATCCATTATCAATAGATATCACATTGCGTTGAGAAATATAAAAACAGGTTGGTATAATATTTCATTGAGTAACTTTAAGGTTTGTGAGTCGTCGATCAACAAACTCCGAAAATTAATGCTACTTGTCCAATACATGATGGAGGTACGAAACCGTATACCTATTTTCTGATATTGTTTGATATCTATAAATCTACATAGGAATGTCTACGAAATTTTGTAATCAATTCGGCAACGAGTTATTCTAATCTAATCGAACAACCGTGTATCTCAATAAAGGGTATTGAAGACAATTTCACTTGGAATACTGATTTGAAGATATTTGATGATTCAAGTATCCCTCCGTTATTTTCTATAATGTTAAATATGAATCAAAATGGACCAATTTATTCCAACGATCCAGATAAGTTTGAGGTTAGTAATTTATTCTATTTTAAATAAACCTATAAAAAGTATTACATTTTTTCTAGAACTTCTTTCTCATTTTATAAAACTGTTTAACCCCACTTCAATTCCCAGTGGATCCGCGTTATATCCTACAATAATAATAAAAAAAAACTATATTTATTGGGTCCTGGGTTTCCACAAGTTTGTACAAATGAGCAGTAAAATGTCTTGTATTATGCTTTTAAACGTTTGAACCCAATTAGTATGCTTCCTACTGGTGGAAAGCTCAGATGGGTGATTCCAGTAAGCATATGGTATTATTTCTTTAGGGTAGAAGAATTCGCATTACAGTTGACAATACCATTTTTTCTGTGTAAGGGAATCAGGATATTCCAACGGTACTTTTACTTGTAATAAAAGGTAGCAAATGGGGTCGCATCAGGTTGACAACCGGTGTAAAATTCTGTCAAACATAGGAAGTTTTAAATAAGACATGGGAGCTGAAAAGAGTCTCCAAAGTGCATGTCACTTAAAAAATGAAGAGAAGCACTTAAATGATAGGGATTTAGGATAAATAGAAGTAAAACAGAGTATAAGTTTGGAGGAACAAAAGAAAACAGATAACTATAGTAATTAGTGACGTAATTGATAAGGTTAAGAGTTTTAAATAAATAACTAGAATCGATTGTTTAAAATAACGGCGGTTGTGACGAGGATGTGGTATATAGGATTAAGTTTAGTTAAATAGAGTGAAAAGAAGCATCAGGTGTCTTATATGACATGAAAATCCTGACAAGACTTGATAAGTGTGGTGAGACTGACTATCCACATGTTTCTTAATTCATCTGTAATGACATCACTGATGACCCTAAGAAATATTAAAGGAAGTTCGTTTTAAGAAGTATTATTATGAAGCCTAACTATATAATAATAATAGTTAAATATTATAACTGTTATCGGTTATTTTCTTAAAAAAAAAAAATGAGATAATAAACACATCTAGTCCACCCCATCTCATGTCTCACGTCTCACATTTCTGACTCGAAAACATGATATGAGTGATAAAGCTATCTTTGATGCCATCAGAGATTTTCGGATTTAAAAAAGAACAACATCGATGGCATCACAGATGAATTAAGGAATACTTGGTATGTTGTATGATTCGGAGTGTTGGCTGGCAAATAGAAAAATAGAACAGAATAAATATAGCAGAGATTAGAATGCTTAGATGGATGAATATACTGACGAGAGAAATTAGGATGAGGGATGAGTGTATGAGAAGTAGCTTAGGCGTGGATTACAGGGTTTATTTTAGACCTCCATTCCTGAGGGGTATTATAAATGTTCAAGTGGATATGCTAAAGACAGATCCGGATCTAGGCCGACCCCTTAAATAAACACTTGTATATTTGAAAATAGACAAAATGAAAGAAAATAAACTGAAATGATTCAGGCTTATCATAGGGAGAGAGAAATAAAAAACAGTTACACTTGTAATTAAAATAAAAATTGGAAGAAAGAGGGAAGATGAGGACTAAAGAAAGATGTGGTTAGATATGTTTGAGAAAAATATGAGAACAGCTAGTGTATACGAGGTGGAAGATCAGGTCAAGTTGAAGTTTAGGATAAGTGTAGCTGACTCCAAATACTTGGTGGAATACGAAAAAGAAGATTATAGGAACTTATGGTATATAAAATATATCATGCATATTATGTATTGTATATAATATAACATATCCTGCCTGACTGACTCACTGATTAATCATCGCCTAGCCGAAACCGCTGAAGCTATGTAGTTTGTATTATCATAGTATTTAACAGATTAAACATATTTTTTTAAGTCGATTACAGTTTTGAAATTGTACAAACAAATATTTAATTTTGCACCAAAAGTTTTTATTATCATTATTAGTATTTATTATTTTTATTATTAAAGTTTTTTTATCACTCCATACCTTCTATCTTAACATAAATAAACAATAAAAATAAAATGCTAATAAATAATATAATCGATGAACTTGATTCAATACTTGACACGAATAAAGATAAAAGTTATTTTCAATTTATATTTACAAACATTGGTGGTTGTAAAACTGATTGGTATCGTATTAATTAACTCAATAATAGTGATAATATTAATAATAATAATAGCTAAAAAAATGCATAATGTATTTTTTTTTTTGACGTGTGATTTATTTATTCCACAGCCTGTTATAGTACACTTATTTACTTTGGCTGTAATCGAAAGCCATAAAATATCTGCCATTCATCCAAATTTACTGAGAGAAATTAGATATTTCGAAAAACCAAAGATAACGTCGATAGGACTACTAGAAAATGAAATCTCCGAATTACAAACCCGTATTGAGAACAACGTTCGTTTAGCAATTATTCCATTAAAAGCGTATTGTAAAGAATATATAGTACATTTACCACTGTTTAATACAAATGTCGCAACATATACAAAGTTTGTATAGAACATTTAAAATAATAATTACTTATTTATGTATACCAAAATCCGAAATAAAATGAAATTAAAATCTATAATTATTATTTCGAAGGGATTTCTTCGATAACGATCCATCACTAATTCAAGTGAAAGAAGAAATATCAATGCAGTTTAAAATGAAAGCGAACCTTGAGAAAACACTTCCCGATACTATTAATATTGGTCTTTTCTATGTGCGTACACAGCAATTGAAGTCATTATTGATAGAAAAACGGAAAGAGTTATCAACATTACTAATGAAAACGCATGCCAGTAAAATAAGTGAACAATTAGAATTGTCCTGTGCTGAATATAAAGAAATATATCAAAAGCTCAATGAAAATCCCGCGTCTATCGAACAATTGTTTGAAATGAGAGAATGGATTGAAACTCTACCAGTTATAATAAAAAATATATCCGACGTTGTTAAACGATTGTCTATGGTACACATACATTATGTATTATAATATGTATAATGTAATGGTGTGAATTAATCATGCGCTTAAATAAGTACTTAAATTAATTATTTTTAGGAACTAGACATTTTGGACACTTATTTATGGATAGTAGAAGACGAACAACTAAAATTAAAATTGGACGGTAAAACTTGGCCTTATAAAATTGAATTGAGAATGACGGAAACGCAAGAACGTTTAGACGGTGAATTTGAAAAATTTGAGAAACTACAATTCGAGCAAGAATTATTGTTACAGGAAACCGTAGAATACATCAATAGCGCTATATTAAAGTTAACTATTGAAACTGATTTAACGAGAATTCTTGAAACTGCGGAGGAAGTCAATAAACTTTGGAAAGAAATTGAAAAGCTTCAATCGTTTAGTCAAAGGTTAAACCATAGCCAAAAACTTTTTGGTCATCAGGTCAGTATAAACTACAGAGTATAGACGTATTACAATATAATAATATTATATTCGTTTTATGCATTCCTATATGTTCCTTAGTATTCAAATTTAAATATTTTTCAGGCTCACCCCTAAAAACGTGTGTATGCATATAAAAATGAATTACGAAAATGTTTAGTCAATCAGCCAATGTTAACCCGTGCCGAATTGAAATTAAAGCTTAAATAAGTTTAATTTTTCAATATTTATGAGAATATTGTATGGGTTTTTAAATATTTTGTAAACCGTTGAGTGAACCGAAATTATTTATATTATATGTTTTAAATAAAACAAAATTGTCTATAAATTATTATTCAACAAGTTCTTAATATCGTCTACCGTTCACAAGATATATTGACCTAATGTACAAAAATACCGTATACTAAAAATGTGTACTGTTATAAATAAAAATATTATTATTAATGTTAAATATTTATCAGAGTTTATGTATTATTAAATATGTTTATTTATTTAAACATATAATTAATGTTTTTAAGTAATATTTTTTTGTAATGTTTCCTTTTTGCAATCTGGATAAATTTTTCTATGTTCTTGAACACATTGTAGTACATATTGTTTTTGATCTTCATCGACTGTTAATGCTTCATTAATTACACTCTTTTAGCTGTATCATTGACTATTTTAAGTGAATTTATTAATTCTTTGCCATTAATAAAACTGATATGATTATCCCACGTTTTTGGATCGTATTGTAAGAAATTTGTTTCGATACCAAATCTGGAGAATAATTTCAAGCTATTTTCCGAAATAAATTTATCAATATTTCTGTAAAATATAAAAATAATTTAAAAAATAAATTGTATTTTAATTATTATTTAGTTTATATTAATGAACTCACCGTTAAATTTGTCATGAATCTGATATGGTTGAAATATCAGTCATTTAGTTGAGTTAATGGATGATTTATCCTTAAGAGCTTTTATCATTAAATGTTTCGTTTTAAAAGGTATCAATTCACCGAAAAACGATAGAGCAGTAGCTTCTTTGGTTAAATACCACAGGTGATTACAAAATTTTTTGATTGCGACTGTAGATATTTGACTATCAATTATTTTGAAGGATTTAAAAGCTTTAATCAATTGTAAGTAAATCTAGGTTTGGAGCTTTTGTTAGCAATGAACAAGTAAACCACTCTTTGACATAAAATGTAACTATGAAAATACAAACTTCTCTAATTGCTTTTTTTTCAGTTGCAGAAATATGATATTGATGGCTTAATATAAACATTTTCAAGTAATAGATTTCTCGAGAAAACCATCATACTTGATGTATTGCACCTGGTGGACGAATTATAATTTTTTTTTCGGAATTTTCACCAATAAATATTAGTACCAATTCTTCAAACTCACGGTAATCATCGTGAGAATTTTTTATTTCTAATTGACTTCATACAAAATTAAGAATATCTTCTCTGATATTTTCTGTGGCACTAATATAATATTGATCTTCTAATTCACATATAAAATTACTAGCATTAATATCATCCACATTTTTTGAAAATTTTTGAACAATGAAATTGCTGAAATCGTAGTTACTTGTGGTATTTTATAAGTTTGATTCATTATAAAATCATCATTGTCGTATCCTAATGCCTCTAATGTTGCTGTTAAAACAGTAAACATTTTTAGTATATGATATTTTTGGAAATTTAGGTAATGTATCTGATGAAAAGTAGAAGATATTAAAAAACTTGTTAAAATATAATTTATAGACAATTTTGTTTTATTTAAAACATATTATAAAAATAATTTCGATTTACTTAACGGTTTGCGAAATATTTAAGAAAATATAAAAAATTTCCATTAGTATTGAAAAATTGAACTAATTCAAACTTCAGGTTTAATTCGACACGGGTTAACTTTGTTTGATCGACTCAACACTTTTCGTAGTTCATTTTTATACACATACACAAGTTTTTAGAGGTGAGTCCATAAAAATGTTGATATTAAAATATTGTATGTGTTTTGTATTTTGAATGTAAAATACACAAATTAATATATTTTGCCCATCCCTGGTCATATTCAATATTATGGTTATTATTATCTAGTTATAATTTATAGTTGATAGTTTTATAATTATTAGGTAACACCTTTTGATAATGTCAAAAGTTTAGTGAAAGAATTTGAACCATATAAAGAATTATGGCTAACTTCTGCTGAGTTTCTAAAAATGCAAAACCTTTGGTCACAAAATCCATTAACCACCCTAGACGAAAGTACTTTAGAACCCGTGTTAAATGAATTGTTAAAGATTATGACGAAATGTGTTAAGCAATTTGCTGAAGTACCTGGTAAAAATAAATTGACTATATTTATTTTGAGTTTTATACATAAATATAAATACTATAAAAATAATAATAATTGCAGGTACTTTAAGTGTTGCTATTGAAATGAAAAAACAAATCGAAGACTACAGGCCAACTGTCAAATTATTAAAAGATATACTAAATCCAGGAATAAAACAAAGACATTGGGATATCATAGCTAAAGAAACTGGTGAATTTATACAGTACATAATACATATATTTACTAACAATATAACAATATTATTCAAATATTTTTAGGAGCAAAAGTTGTTTTAGTACCATCATTGAATTTTCAAAAATGTTTAGAATTAGGTGTTGATAAACATGTAGATATGATAAAACAAATTTCGGATAATGCTTCAAAAGAATACACAATTGAACTGGCTTTAAATAAAATGATAAAAGATTGGGACGGTGTAAAATTAAATTTAATTCCTCATAAAGACACAGGAACATATATAATGCAAATATCAGATGAAGAAATACAAATGCTGGATGAACATATTTTGATTACTCAACAGTTATCTTTTAGTCCATTCAAAGGACTATTTGAAGAGCAATTAACTAAATGGGAAGAAGATTTGAGACTTACTAGAGACGTCATTGAAGCATGGATTGAATTTCAAACGTATAATTACAAAACAAAATATTTAGTACCTACCTAATCACAGAATAGAATAATTTTTATACGTTTAGTGGACAGTCGCAATGCCGGATTAATGAAATTAATTATTTTTTTATAAAGTATTATTAATATTATAGTTTTGTGTCCGTAAACAATTTTTTTAACTTAAAATTTTCCCCGGTTTCACTTATTATTTTCCTAATCGTTGGGGAAAACATAAATAAAAAGACATACTTCGCATGGGTTGGTTACTGTTGCAGGTGAGAATTTGGGAAGGTAAAGGGGAAATTTAATGTATATCTGTAAGCAACGATAAACAATTGCTTACAAAAAAAACGATTTTGAACGACAGTAATGCTTTGTAAACAATTTTTATGTCATAGTATGATAAAAAAATTACATATGTATTATATATTGTCTTTAATAATTTTTGTTTAATATTGTACGTATTCTCCTATATTTTTTTCTGGTTTTTTCCTAAATTTTTCAAATTTATTATAAAAACAGCTGGAAAAATCAAAAAAATGACCTCCCTAAACTACCACTTCAGTCAGATTTCTTTTCAGAAAAAATGGTTTCATTGTAAATCTGAACGAAATTGTTTATAGAAAAGTTATTCACAGATAAAAAATTAATAAATAAATAAACATCATTGTAAAACAAATAAAATGGAAAGTTAACTGAAATACCAATAATTTCAATACTTTCGTTTTTTTTTTTTTTTTTGTTGTAGTTCGGTTATAAGCAATAGTAGAAACATGTAATTTGTATAGACAATTTTTAGAGGTAATAAAATATTATACTTATTGATAGGCATCTGACATTATGGAGTTTTTTCAGTTTTTATTTGGTTGTTTTATGAGGAAAAAGGGGAGGTTATAAGATGCCTTGGAGGATTCCACATTTAATGAATTCACCTGAACTTAGTGTTTTGTTGATTTGTATGCGTTGGGGAAGTGATGATAAGTGCGATTTAAGAAATTTCAATGCTGCACTTTTAATTCCAATGTCTATCAGTTTTGTTGATAGTGTAATATACTATTATCATGGCCAACTGTCTCAAAAGCCTTTGCTAGATTCAGGTATACTGTTGCGCAGTTTTTATCACTATCTAATGTGGTTGAATTCAAACTGAGAGGAATAGTACAAGTCGTTCGATTCAATATACTCTTGCAACTCATTTTTAAGTATTTTTCAACATTTTTAACGATTTTTGAGATTAGAGATATTGGTTGGTAATTACTAATGGATAGTTTAAATTTTTTTAATACAAGAATCACTACGGTTGTTTTAAATATATTTGGAAAAATTGAATTGGATACAGATGCATTAAAGATGTGTGATAATGGTTTTAATAATTTAGATAAGTTTGTTTTGATAATTTCTTCTGTAATATTGTCATGTCCAGGTACAAAGACATAATTCCTTTTAAAACAGAGTTATTATTAATTATCTCAAATTTAGTGAATCAATGTGATATAATTGTATAAGGGACATAAGTTTTATTTTTGTTAAATATTATTTTAGAACTTATCATTATTTTGAACACGGTGTGAGCTACCTAAAATAAAATAGCTATTAATGTTATTAGCCATTTATTGTAGTTGCTTATTGACGAATAAAGTAGAGTCACTATCATTTATGATAGAAAAAATTTGACTGCTATGCTTAGTTTGGTTTGTAGCTTTATTAATTAAACGCCATAGGTACATTTATACAATTATGTTAATTTGTCTTTTGTACTCTATTAATTACTATTAGTATAGATACCTAACCTCCTAGATTATATATTTTATTTTAATACTTTTTTTTTTATAAAAAATACTTGACTAAGAATTGTTTTAAATTGCATACCTAACAATATTGAAGTAAGTAGGCATTTAGACTACATTATTGAAAGATATAGCTTTTTTCATTATGTGTTAGTATTATATTAATAACATAAAAATGATAACAATATAGAATATATAGTGTATTTTTAACTTGTACCTACATCAAAAATTTAAAATAGGTAATCAGTTTTAACAAATATTATACTTAATATATTATCTATATAAACAAATTAAAACTTTCATTAACTGTCACCTCTAGGTAACAGCAATTTTTTTTGGACCCGTCAATTATTATAGGAAAAATACATTAATACCTCTATATAGCGGTAACTCTAAATAAAGATCAAACTTCTTGAACTTTGTATCCAAAATTGTAATTTAAAGTGCGTGATTTGCCCAAACTAATTAAGACACTTTACAGTTATAAATAGACATTATGTAATTGTCTTATTCAACTTTTACCTACCCTAGGAAGTATAATATTCTAAATTAGTATTTTTACCACCAAATTCGTCAAACAATTTTGATTTTAAATTGTACATAGTAAATAAATCTTCAGTATTGTGCATGTCATAAATACATTTTTTGGTACTTGCATATTATTGTGTAGATACTTATTTGAGTTTTATTTAAATTATTTGTACTCTCTATATCGGTCATCTGGAAGTATTGCAATTCTGTTAATGGTCACCTCTAAATAACGGTCATTATTTCCCTTCGGTCACCGTTTTATAGAATTTTCACTGTACTTGCTATACTTACAAAATAATATACATTATGATTCAAATAAAACCAAATAAATGGTACAAGATGGTTCCAAGCTGTCAAAATATAATTTTTTTTTGAAGCTTTCAATAATATTCTTCTTGAAGTACTCGGTCAAAACCCTACACTCCATAAATCCATTAATTTCTAGTTCTGTATTTCTTAGTTCGCGATAAAAAAAAAATATATATATACCTACATAAAACATTTACTTTAAACAGATTTCCCATGTTTGCATTATAAAATAGTCTAGTAAATACTTTCATTTAAGTAGTATACCAGGTGATCTAATTAAGTAGGTAAACTTATTATCTCGGAAAGTATTAAGTTTTTTCGAAATTTGTTTTCTAGAATATTTAAGAAACATACACTTTACAATTTATATTTATATTTTTTTTCACCCTAATTTTTGGGGTTAAAACCATGAATTACTTTTGATTTACAAATAGCAACCTATATTAAAAATTCCATAAATAGATTATTAGTTAAAATAAATTTTAATGTTGAAATTTTAGATTTTTGTCAAGCCGTTGACAAGATATTTCACTTGTAAGTACACGTCGTACGCCACACGAATGATACTCCACTACAATTCTTCTCCAACCCATACTTAAAAGTAGAATATTTCGTCAACGGATTGACGGAAATCAAAAATTTCAACACTAAAATTTGTTTTAACTAATACTCCAACTATTTATGAGATTTTTAATATAGGTAAAAAGTAAATACTTTCCAAAATAATGAATGTACTCACTTAAATGGATCACGGTTATCTAAAACTAAACTATAATATAATTTGAATTTTAAGTATCTTAAAAACGAGTAAAATATTTTTCAGACAATGGATGTATCTAGAACCTATATTTGCCAGTCCTGATATTAAAGATCAACTTCCTGTTGAAAATAAGAAATTCAATACAGTTCAACGTACATGGATACGAATCATGAAATCCACTTTAGAAAAACCATTAGTAAGAATAGTTAATATATATGTTACGCTTAAATCCCGAAATCGACTAATGTATACATTAGCATTCTCGTCCATAATCAAATTGCTGGATTATTGAATCACCAAAAATAAAAAATATTTTTATAATATGTTTCACATCCTTGTTTTGTTTTAATGCCCTTATTTGTAAAATTTCAGTGACATGATCTTAGTAGATAATTGTCTTTCTATTTAATTTCACTTTTCAAACTTCTAGTATTATTACGAAATATTTTGATGAGATCAATAAATCTAATTATGTTTTTCCAGCAATAATTTATTAAAATACTCGTACAAATTGTCTTTCAAGTACATTATATTGCAGACTTACGAACTAAATTTTAATTGACATATATATATTACTTATGGCAGAGTAGAGCAGTGTGTTAACAAAGTGTTACACCATTATGGTCTTTAGAGACAATACAGAGGTCCGGGTTATAACCACGATTACATTAAAGTTGTTTATTTAAATTGGTATTAGCACTTTTAAGATAAAATAGGTATAATACTATAATTTAATACTAGTCAATAAAATCATATCATAAAAAGTTGTCAGATAATCTATGAATAAGGAAAGAAATAAAGTTAAAATTGGTTTCGATGCGTTTAGTGGTTAGAGTAGGAAGTTTGGGTGTATTAAGGATAAGAGAATAGTCGTACGGAGGATGCCGAAGCTTAAGAACCAATTGGGCATACGACAGAAATTTATTACGGACACACATTAACCTTACAGTTGATCCTTCGCAAGATAACGATGCAACACAACCTCACTGTACTCTAAAATTGAACGGACTGCCTGGATATTTAATGCTATCACCACTTTATTGAAACAAACAACTAATAAGAATCTTATATCACAAACCCATTTTTAAAAATAATAAATTATCTTTTTAACTTTAAAAATATTTGAGCTGTCAAAAATGATTAACCGCTACTGTAAAATGTTTAAAAAAAAAAAAATCAAAATCAGTACTAATTTATAAGTGATGGATATTTAATTTTTTCTTTCTTTTTTTTAAAAAAATAAATATTACAGCAAAACTCTTTTGAAATCACTATTTCAGTTTTCATATTTTTAAGTTTTGATTTTGGTATACCGCCAAGACTACAGTATAATAATATAATTTTAAAAATAAAAGATATTGATAAACTTATTAAGTATTTAATCAGGTGATGATGATTTGTCCGGATAAGAGATTATTGGAAAAATTAATAGAAGGAAGAGATCAATTGATTTTAGTGCAAAAAGGATTAACAAATTATTTGGAAGTTAAATCATCGGTGTTTCCTAGATTTTACTTTCTTAGTGATGATGAATTATTGGAAATATTAGCCGATTCGAGAAATCCATTGGCCGTACAACCGCACTTGAAGAAATGTTTTGAAAATATTTATAAAGTAAACCATTTACTATTGTATACAAGTTACCTTTATTTATAATATTTCATTATAATTGTATAGCTTGAATTCGAAGCCGATTTAAAAGTTACTACTATGTATTCTGGCGAAGGGGAGAGCGTTAAATTGATCCCACCTATATATCCCAAAGGGACCGTAGAATATTGGCTAATGGACATAGAAAATATTATGAGAAACACAATCAAAGAGACGTTAAAAGCTGCACTGGAAACAGTGGAAACCACACCTAGAGACGAATGGGTGCTCCAATGGCCGGGTCAAGTTGTCATAGCCATTTCTCAGACTACTTGGACTGCACATGTTGAACACGGTATCAAAACGAATACGCTGAATTCGTATTATAAAACTATGCTATCTCAGGTGGGTAGAAAATAAAAAAAAACAACAAAATACATATTATATTGGTTTATGGCGTACGTAGAGAATTTGCTACCTATCTATATTTTAACTCATTTGTGTTTTATAGTTAAACGATTTAAGAAAATTAGTTAGTGGGAATCTTAATAATATTGAACGCCAAGTATTGTCGGCGTTAATCGTAATTGAAGTTCACGCTAGAGACGTACTATCGAGTTTGGTCGCACTCAAAATAAAAAACGTTAACGAGTTCGATTGGATACGACAGTTAAGGTAAGTAGTAGGTCCTAGTAAGTGGTAAAACCGGTGGCGAGTGATGCGAGACATGCACTTATCCAGATTTTGTTTGTGAATGGTTTTCACTTAAGTCATTATCAATTATAACTGTATCAATATTAAAGTGATAAAAACAATTTTAAAATTGCATAAAATTGGAGAAAATATGAAATACGGCATCCCCTTCTCCCCCTAACAGTGAGGCGTAAATATTTATGTTTGAACTTTTAAATTGTTTAGATATTATTGGTTAGATGATTTTGGTGAAGTAGTCAGAGCGGTGAATGCTCAATTTCCTTACAGTTACGAATATCTTGGATGTTCGGGTCGTCTGGTCATAACTCCGTTAACCGATCGTTGTTATCTAACATTGACCGGTGCTCTGAATTTGAAATTTGGCGGAGCTCCGGCCGGACCGGCTGGTACGGGAAAAACGGAAACAACTAAAGTGTGCAATTCATTTATATTGCATTGAAATGGACTTCTATAATATAATATTCTGATATAATAAATTATTCTTATGTTAACCTATAGGATTTAGCAAAAGCATTAGCTATTCAATGCGTTGTGTTCAACTGTTCAGATCAATTAGATTACATGGCGATGGGAAAATTCTTTAAAGGGTTAGCCAGGTATACAATCGTAGTATTTAAAAACGATTCAAATAAGTAAAATTACAATAAATTATTGTATTTTTATTTTATAGTTCAGGAGCTTGGGCTTGTTTCGACGAATTTAATAGAATAGACATCGAAGTGCTCTCTGTAATTGCTCAACAACTTACAACGATACAAAAAGCGTTAATGGCTCAAATGACCAGGTATATAAATATAATACTATGAACATACCTAACTACTTTATTAATCTGAGTTTTATATAAGTAATTACTTTTAATACTTATTGTTCCAGATTTATGTTCGAAGGTAGCGAAATAGCTCTTAAACCGACTTGCGCCGTGTTTATCACAATGAATCCTGGATACGCGGGCAGAACAGAATTACCCGACAACTTAAAAGCGTTATTTCGTCCAGTGGCCATGATGGTACCCGACTATACGCTTATCGCTGAAATTTCCCTTTTTTCATTCGGCTTTAACGACGCGAAACCGCTCGCGGGTAAAATCACCACGACGTTCAAACTCAGTTCGGAACAACTCAGTACTCAGGTTATTATAGCAACACTATAATACCGTTTCGTTATGTTTTGTGTTCTAAAATAATAATTTAACATGTAACATAATTTACACCTCATCAGGACCATTATGATTTTGGAATGAGAGCTGTAAAAACTGTTATCGCTGTGGCTGGAAATTTAAAAAGAGAAAATCCTGAAATGGATGAACAGCAAATCATTCTAAGAGCATTAAGAGATGTAAATGTACCGAAATTTTTAAAGGACGATCTGACATTATTTAAAGGTAAATGAAAAAAAAAACAACTAATATGTATATTTATAATGATTATACAGGAGATTTTTTTTTATCATAAATTATCAATTTTCTCGGAGGATTTTAAGTGAATTTGATTTTCTTTCTTTTAATCAATATGGAAATGATGAGCTTTATTTCGAAGCCATTTTAAATTTTGTTATCATTAGTACTCCATATACCTTAAAATAAGTATATAATTTTGTTTTTCAAATAGAAATTCCCCTTTTATGAATACAGATTTGAATAGCGAATATTATTTTTAGAAATTTTTATATACATAATACAAATATCAGATTTACCGTTTATGAGTCATAGCCATTTAAAGTTCAGACTGGACGAGTAAAGAAAGGTTAATAATAAGTTGATAACTTTTCCCTACTCCTCCAGTCTATACACTTTAAAAAGTTATAACTGATAAACAATAAAACTACTATAAATGGGGGGTGATACACGTAAAATAAAAGTATACATTTATTTAAGGTATATGGAGTAAGGGTAAAAAATTAAAAATGGTTTTAAAATAAAGTTTAACCAATTTCACAATAATTAAAAACATACAAAAACAGACATCAAATTAACTTAAAATCCTTCGAAATAATTGCTGGTTTATGATAAAAAATTACTCTTTAAAATATATTGCAACTAATATAAATAATACTATGCATTGATAACACATATAAAGTATTAATTGTAATTATTGTTTTATATTAAATTATTAGGTATAGTTTCTGATCTATTTCCGTTAATTAAACAACAAGATATTGATTACGGTTCGTTAGAGAAATCAATTAGAGACGCAACTTTAAACTTTGGACTAGACGATGTCGATGGTACGCAAAAACCGATTATAATGACCGCGTTTACCAATGAAAATAACCTATTATAGTAATTTTAATGACATTTCAGAGTATATGAGCAAAGTAATTCAATTATTCGAAACAACAGTCGTAAGACATGGCTTAATGTTAGTTGGACCTACCGGGTCGGGAAAAACAAAAGTAATCAATATTAAATCTATTATAAACACAATATTATTTAAAAAAAATAAAATTGTGTAAGTTTTAATCATTATAAATAACCATGTGAGGCGTCTTCTAAAAATGTATAATACGCGACAAATCTACACATTTTATTAATTGTAAGATCTTAAAATGAATAATTTTTTTTGTTTCATAAAACATCATATTCATTGTTTTATCATTATATACCTATATAATAATAATTTTTTTAACAATTATAATTCTAATAGAAAATATTCATTATAATTTCTAGTTAACATAATTTTATACCGAATAATAATAATTATTATATGCTTAGTGCTATGAAATACTGAAAAACGCATTAACTAAATTAGAGGGCACGGAATCTCCGAGTGGAGTACTATTTGTTAAAGTTCATTCGTTTGTGTTGAATCCAAAATCAATTACGATGGGCCAGTTGTACGGTGAATTTGATGCTCTTACACATGAGTGGTTAGACAGTTTAAGATTTTATATTTTTGTTATTACAATCATTGTTGTTAGTCATTTGTTTGTTTTATTTATATTTTACTATCAAAACTGTAAAATGTTAAGAGTACTATTGTATTTTATGTAACATACATATTTAAAATCAAAGTACAAAACCCAAAATATTAATTTAATTAATTTAAGTTAATTGTTTTGCTATAACCGTAAATACTTAATAAACAAAATGTATAGCTTTTTGTGTGTTATATAAATTTATCTGTATATCATGTGTCATCCACAAAGTGCTCCAGTTTTTATATTTATTAATATATATATATATATATATACATTTTATAACATATAATACAGGACTGACGGTATTTTATCGTATATGGTCCGCCAAGGAATTTCCGTCGAAGATTCAGACAAACGGTGGTATGTTTTTGATGGGCCCGTGGATGCGGTTTGGATTGAAAACATGAATTCGGTTTTGGACGATAACAAGAAATTGTGTTTAAGTAGCGGAGAGATAATGAAAATAACCGACAATCAAACGATGATTTTCGAGGTCGAAGATCTTTCCGTGGCGAGTCCTGCAACGGTTTCTCGATGCGGTATGGTTTACTTGGAACCGGCTATTTTAGGATATGGACCGTTCATAAATTGTTGGTCCAAACATTTGCCTAAAGTAAATATTATTATTAATGTAATATATTTATGATACATTTATAGTTTCTTTGATTTTTAAATATCTTTTATTTTTGATGATTATCATATGTTTTCAGTTGGTAAACCATGTAAAGGAAGAAATATTAAGACTGATAGATTTATATGTAATTCCAGCTATAGAATACGTCCACAGAGAGCTTACCGAAATAGTCATATCGGTGAAATCGTCATTACTTATGTCGTGTTTGAATTTAATGACGATTATGTTTAAACCATTAACTAACGCCGATAACAAACCCATACCTCCCCCTCAATTTTTGAGCTTAATCCCTCAACTGTTGCCATGTTGGATAGTATTTGCAATCATTTGGAGTGTAGGAGTGACTTGCGATCACAAATCTCGTACACTATTTTCGGCATATCTAAGAAAACAGATGACTTTAAACCGACATCAAAATAAATTTCCTAACGAAGGATTAATTTACGACTATAGGTATCGATTTTCAAGTTTTTATGGCATAGCATTGCAAGCAATATTTAGTAAACTATTTTGTTTTATTATTATATTGAGTTTACATTGTATTCATATAGGCTACACGATGGTGGATTTACCATGCCAACGGACAGTGGAGAACCGGTCCCACCAACGTGGATTAATTGGGGACTCTATGTCGAAAAAATAATGATAACGGAAGAAACCAACTATTCGGGTAATTAATAAAAAAAGGTACCTACCTAGTAAAATGTAGAATTCTGTTGAAAGGGTATTATTTTCAGACATTGAAGTACCAACCGTCGACAATGTTCGATCGGCTTATATAATCGAAATGCTTTTGACGAACGGTCATAATGTATTGTGTATTGGACCGACCGGTACTGGAAAAACACTCACAGTTATGTCGAAACTCACCTATAATATGCCAAAAAATTATATTTCTGACTTTTTGAACTTTTCCGCCCGGACTTCCGTAAATCAAACTCAAGATTTAATCGATTCGAAATTAGACAAACGGAGAAAAGGAATTTTTGGGCCACCCATAACCAAAAGACTTATACTGTTTATTGATGACTTCAATATGCCTGCTTTGGAAACCTATGGTGCACAACCTCCTATTGAACTCATAAGACAATGGATGGATTTTGGCGGTTAGCAATTGATTTATTTTTATTTTAACAGTATTAGGATTTGAATCTGTACACAAATTGTTTAATATTAGGATGGTATGATCGAAAAAACATTGGTGAATGGAGGAGTATTATCGATACAAATTTTATTGTAGCGATGGGTCCTCCCGGCGGTGGACGGAATAACATTACACCTAGAATTCTCAGACATTTTCATTATATATCGTTCACCGATATGGATGAAAATAGTCAAGTAAATATTATAAATGAAACATTTTTATTACTGATTTATACAGGTTATGCCCACGAAAATAAACTCTATCATATTAAATTTATAGATAAGTATTTTTGGTCAAATTCTCAACTCATGGATGTCAAGAAATGAAAACTTTAAAGGAATAGAAGAACAAATCCTTCGCATGACACTTACTATTTACAACATTATTTTATCTGACTTATTACCAACTCCGGCAAAAACTCATTATACTTTTAATCTAAGAGACTTAAGTAAAGTTTTCCAGGGCATATTAATGGCTCAACCTGAAATTATTGAGGCAAGTTTTAAATAATTATTAGTAGATTGGATAATTTAAAACAAAATAAATATATGTTTTTTTTGTACAGAATGAACAAGAATTAATCAGACTATGGTATCATGAAAACTGTCGCGTTTATCAAGACCGGTTGATAAATAATGAAGATAGAAACTGGTTTAGTGGCCTACTAAAAAATAAAATCCTCGACAATTTCGGACAAGATTTCGTTTCTTTAGTGACTGATGAAATCATTTTATTTAGTGATTTCGTTGATAGCGATTCTTACACCAGAGTTACAAATACTAACACAGTAAATATAAACTATATTTATTTTATTATATTTTTTTATCTGAACCGTATTTATACCGACAAATATTTAATTCAAATCATATTTAAGCCGAACTATATTTTAGCCAACAATATTTAAGCGTGGCAATATTATTCTGTACTCAATATTGTTTTAACCTAACCGTGGTTTATACTATGGTTATATTATTATAATATATATTATGGTACGCTTACAATATAAATATGATCAATAAATAATATATATTCATACATATATGAAATCATAACCTCGGTAGACGTCAATAAACGTCAGTGAAAATTTTAAAACATTTTTGCCTAAATGGGCGGGACATTAGTAGTCGACTGACGGAGGAGAAATGGTCTGACTTTATTTTCTAAGATGTCTATAGTGGCTAGATACTAGTGACTAGTATCAATCTAGTAATCGGAGTGTCCAATGGTTCTGGCAAAATATCTGTCGGCTAAAGTGCTGTTCAAATACGGTTTTGATAAAATATTTTTCGGATTAAATATTTATTTGTTAAATTACGGTTTGCAGTAGTTTTATATAAGTAGTGGCTCACCGGGAAAATCCAGGTGTCCCGGTGGTCCTATCCGCCCCTGAATATTAGCAATCTATAGCATTAAATACACCTCTGCGGTCATTTTCTACAATATTATGATTTAAAAATGTACTGAAATATTAAAAGTATAGGTACTAATATTATTCTAACAATTGAAAAAAATACTTTAAGGTTGTTTTTAATTTTTCTGTCTAGATGTGTTTAATAAAAAGGTTTACTGTTTTTATTTTAGATTTTGAAAGTGCTTGAGAAGTATTTAGAAGAATATAACGCTCAAACTTCGACGGTATTAAATTTAGTATTTTTTATGGACGCGATATCTCATATTTGCAGAATAACGCGTTTAATTGGACAACAACTCGGCAATGCGTTATTATTGGGTATGGGTGGTTCAGGTGAGAAAATTAAAAATTTTTTAGGTACCAATAAGACAAGTTTGTATTATATATATATGTTGTTTTATTAGGCCGTCAAAGTCTTACACGATTAGCTACGTATATACGTCAACTTCAACTCTTTCAAATACAGTTAACCAAAACGTATGCAACTAACGATTTCAGAGAGGATATGAAAAAATTAATGTTAAGAGCCGGTTTATTAAAAGTTCAAAGCGTATTTTTATTTAGTGATACACAAGTAATACTAATACAAATAAAGTTTTGTGCATTAATAAATTACTCGTGCACACATATAATTTAATCAAACAAAATATATAATTTTTTGTAATGTAGATCAAATCTGAATCCTTTTTGGAAGATATAAATGGTATACTCAATTCTGGAAACATACCGAATATCTACCAACCGGATGAATTAGATAAAATCATGCAAGTTATGAAAGCTCCAGCGACCGAACTGGGGTTGGTAACTTCTAAAGCAAATTTATTCAGTTTATATTTGAAACGCGTCAAGATAAACCTTCACAGTGTTATCACAATGAGGTACTACTTATAAATAATCCTTATAGTAATATTAAAAATAACGCTCGGAATGGACCTATAAATTGTAGCCCGATCGGAGAATTATTTCGTTCTCGAATCCGTCAATTTCCTGCTCTCATTAACAATTGTACGATAGATTGGTTTAGCGAATGGCCAGAAAGTGCACTAAAGGTATGTTAAATGATACACTTTTAAGCCAATAAGCCCCGAATTTTTTTTTCTTCAAAACTGTTCGAAATTTTTATATCTAATAAGAATAACATTATCACTTCTACTTTATTTTAAATCATGTTTACAATGTTATAATTAAAATTATATTTTAGAGTGTTGCGCATCATTTTCTAATGGAAATCGAAGATTTACATTCAAATTCTGTGTTATTTGATGGCATTGTTTCTACGTTCCAATATATGCAACAAAGTGTAATTGAAGAAAGCGTAATTTATCTACAAGTATAAATGCATTCTTACTTTATCAACTTTATATATATATATATATATATATATATTTTGATCTTAAGACAATTGAGCGCTGCGAAAATTAAGCGCTGAGACAATTGAACGCAATATATATAAGCGCTAAAAAGGTTAGGTAATAATTTAAAAAATAAAAAATAAGTCATAGCATGGTTAATAATATATTATTGTTATTGTCAAGTTAAAATATTAAATATTTTGAGCAATTGAGTTGAACAAATTAATATGCGTGGAATTTCTGGATTTTGTGAGTAACTATCATACAATAAAAATGGTTTACCATCTAATTTTGTTGTAAACTCGGGTGGAATGATCAACTCCTTCAATAAAGCTGGAATTGCTGGTGCCATTAATTATTTTTGGCGAATTCGTTGAACTGTTTTTTTCATTGAATCAACTGCGGGTAATTGACCAGCAACCGCTTCAGTAACCTACAATAGTAATAATTATTATTTCTAAAACACGAGCATATTTACAAAAAAAAAAAAAACAGAAAACGAAAGTTACTACAGTAAATTAATGATCTCATAAATATTAATATTAAATTTATATTATATTTACCTGTAAAGACACTGCACCTAAAACTGCTTGAGTACTAAGTTCAATATGTTTTGCCGTTGTTTTTAAAAATTGCACTGCTTTTCTCGCTTCAATTTTTGAAATATCGGGTCTATAGTTGTGCTCTTTTTTACTTTCATTAATAATTTGACCATCCGTCAAATTAATACGACCACATTTTTTCGCATTGCATTCGATACATCGCCAACTACTGTTTTTGTCAAATCTATATAAATATCCGTTGTAACACAGAAGGTCTCGACCTTTTTCACTTTTAATAAATTCCATTTAAAAAAATTAAAATATCATATAAAACGAATAAAACGTATAAAACGTATAAAAAACGTAAAAGAGAATGGCACTGATATAATAAAATGACTAATACAATAAATTTAATAGTAGGTACTAAACGTATAAAACAAAAAGAGAAATGAAAATAATGAAAATAATAGTGAAGTTATCCAGCGATAAGAACCTATAGATCTACTGCTGCGTTATCGTCATTGGAATTTTATTCTAATGAAAACTATATAATATATAATAACTATATAATAGCATCGTATCGATACGATACGAATGATGCGGCAACGAATTCATTTCTAATTTCGTCATTTCGTGTTTTAATCAGTTTAGTATTATAGCGCTCAATTGTCTTCGCTCAATTGTCTGCGCCCAATTGTCGCGCGCTCGATTGTCGGGACACCATATATTTTAGATTCTGAGCTGAACGAGAAATGTAGTGGTTTTGCAATATTTTTTTCTGTAGACAACTTTTCTACTAGCAATTTTTATCCGAGTTTCAAGTATAGCACATTTCTGAAATAAAATCTGACTGGAGTGGTACTTTTGGGAGTTTATTGGTTTTCATAGCTATTTTCCTTAACTGAGAAAAATTGATAGGAAAAAGCATAAAATGTAATAATTTCAAATTATAAATATTACTGGCTTTTAAAACATCTATAACCGAATTCAGTTCAGAATCATTTTTCGTTATTAAAGATTAATCGTTACAAGCAGATTTATATTAAATTCTCATTCATGTAATATTTTCTCAACTTGTGGTTCACCTATTGTACGAAGTATGTCCGTATTTTAGATTCTGAGTGGAGCGAAGAAGCTAGTAGTTTTCCAAAGATTTTTTTTTTTTATTTGTGCAACTTTTTTATCAGAAGACTTGCTGAGATTTCTAAATGTAGTACCTTTTCTGAAAATAAATCGGTGTGGATAAGTATTGTGAGAATTCATTTTTCGATTTTCTCAAGTTTTCAAGAGTAATTTGAAAAATCGAAAAAAAAAAACAGGAAAATTTACGAAATATATTACTAAAATATTACGATTTATTTTCCTGTGCACAACTTTTCAAGCAGCAATTTTGCTCCAACTTATAATGATAGCAATATTTTTAAAAGGAATTTTAACTTGGGAAGTACTTTAGAGAGGTAATTTTTCGATTTTCTCAGACATTTTGCAAATGTAAAAAAACGGGAAAAACACAGGAAAACTGGGAAATTAAACAAATATTATTAAAGAAAATATATAAAGTTTATTTAATTATTTTACTTTAAAATGAAATATATGTTGTTGAAAAAGCATCATTATCAACTAAACTCCGCTTAGAATTGTTTTTTCGTAAACAATGATTTATCGTTGCTTACAGGTATACATTAAATTATCTACAACAGTAGCTGCACCCATCCTCATTATTCTAGGACATCTTTTTTATTATATTATTATTTATTATGACTGTTATCTACTGATCTACAGGAATTGAAAAGATACATTTACGTAACTCCCAGCTCATATTTAGAATTGATCAAATGCTATATGAATATGCAAAGAGATAAAAAACAAGAAATTAACGACTCTATGAATAAATTGCAAGTAGGTTTAGACAAGCTACTAACTACCGCGGAAGAAGTAAAAGTAATGCAAAAAGAGTTAACTGAAATTCGTCCAATCATAGATGCAGCTAGAATCGACGTAGAGAAAATGGTTGTTGTTATAGAAGCGGACCGAGTAAGTTGAAATGTATAATATTTACGGTCGAATAATAGAAGTAGGTACCAATTATAATACCCAATTTCACTAAATATGGTAAAAAAATGTACTTTTTCTTCTCAGGAAAAAGCCGAAATTAAAAAATCCGAAGTAAGTGAAGTAGAAGAAATAGCAGGTAAAATTGCTGAAGAAACTCAACAACTAGCTATGGATGCGCAAAATGATTTAAGTATATGCATTATTTGAATTTAATATTAATATTAGCTCTGATAGTCTCTTACTACTATTATAATGAGGTAATCTCTAACTAATGGCGGTGGTTTACATATTCGTCTAACTAAATTGCAGATTTACATTGTTTGCAATACATTTGTAATCATAAAAGTTAAACAACAATCAAGAGTGAATACGCCACCTTTAATAATATGTATACATGTTTATCCATTTTAATTGATTTTATTGTAAAATATGTAAACATTTCCATAATCTTATTGGGTATTAATTAGAATTACATAATTATGCCATCGCCAATGGTTACCTCTTTTGAAGATAGACTATGTCTACAGTTCAGATATTAATAGATAAAAAAAATCACGTGCCATACTTAATGCTATTGTAATTATATAATTAGACAAAGCGTTGCCGATATTACTAGCTGCAGAAGAAAGTCTAAAATCATTAAACAAGAAAGATATATCGGAAATAAAAGTATTAAAAACTCCTCCAGCCGATGTTGTTTTAGTTTTAGAGTCTATTTGTCTAATGAAAGACATAAAACCCATTATAGTCCCTGGCAAAAAACTAGGAGAGAAAAAAAACGATTATTGGGAACCAAGTCGTAACATGTTAGCGGATCCGGCAATTTTTTTAAACTCTTTACTAAGTTACGACAAAGAGAATATAACAGAGGCAATTATAAACAAAATCGAACCATACATACAGAACCCTCGTTTTCAACCTCAAAAAATAGCCAAAGTAACTTGCATTTAAAAAAAAAGAAATAAGAAAATACTACTAAGTTGTTATACAATTTTTACGGAATTGTACTATATTTAGGTATCTACAGCCTGTACGTCTTTGTGTTCGTGGGTACACGCAATTTATAAATACTATTTCATAAATAAAGAAGTAATCCCGAAAAAAATTGCTTTGGCGGAAGCCACAGTAAGACTCCAAGAAGCAAATGATGAGTTAAATTCAGCTCAACTACAGATGAAAGAGGTCATGGACGGTCTCGACGTTTTAGAAAGAAGTTTAAACGAGACTATGAACAAAAAAAACGAGTTGGAAGCCAAAAATCAGCTTTGCATAGACCGAATGGACAGAGCTCTGAGGTTGGTCGGCGGTCTCGCAAATGAACGAAAACGCTGGGTAGAACTCATAATCGACTATAAAGTACTCTTAAGTCTATAACAAATAATTTTTTTGCTAGAATATTACCGTATTATTATTATTATTTTCCATTTAAAAGGAAGTATTGATTAACCTCGCGGGTGACATACTGATAAGCGCTGGGTCACTGGCGTACTTGACTGTGTTTACAGACAAATATAGAAATAGTTTACGAACCAAATGGTTAAAGATCATCGACAATAACCACGTCTCTCGTTCTAAAAACTGTAGTATTATATCGATTCTCGGAGATGTGGTTACAATCAGAAACTGGCAAATGGCCGGACTGCCACGGGATAATTTCAGTACTGAAAATGCTATACTCATGTTTAATTCAAACCGCTGGCCGCTTATAATCGATCCTCAAGGACAAGCCAATCGATGGATTAAAAATTTGGTAAGCAGTTGGTTTAATTATATAATGCAATTTTAATATTTGTCTACCTATTCTTACTATACATACTTTATTTACAACAATTTCATTGAATCAAGATCATCCACCAGGTGATATTATTATTATTTTATATGCAAGAATGATCCTAAATTAATGAATATTTCTAAATTAAATATAACATTATGACCCTTCGATAATATCACCCCGCTTATCATATATCAATTCATTATTGCTACTGTTTTGAAAGAGTTTGAATGCCACATATAACGTTTTCATTGTTGAGTTCACGAACCGTTCGACTTACTGTTTCATTGAAAATAAAGATGTTGAGAAAAATGGAACCCTCCAAATAGTTCCTTTAGTTTTGAAATACATCGAAGTCTGGAAGACTTAAATCCGGTTAATATGATGAAAGACTGAGATGCTTTCATCTGTAGTTTTCCAAAAGAGCGATAACTGATACTCTGAAATGTGACCCACGCATTACCATGCAATTTGCACACGTCATGTTGCAACATTCCAGGTTTCAATTTTTTTCCAAAAAATGTTTTATAATAGATTTTAGTTACATTGTGGCTAATTGGAATTCTATAGGTGATATTTAATTCATACATTATATAGGCTAAAATCATATTTTGTTTTACTATTGAAGCAAAAGTAAGCCGAAAATTTTTTTTACTTTCGTTATTGCTCTCGAATATCATTACCCTTCATTAAACTAACTAAAAATGTATAAACGTGTTTGTTAGACATTATGTTCCAAATTGATATTAATTATGTATATGCTAAGTTTGCTAGAAGGCTAAAGTGTACTCAACATTATTTTTAGGACAATACCCATATTGCTGTTATATTACAGCCAATTTCAAAATGAAATACATAGTTTTTCAAACTGGGAGGGGAATTATAAATACCACGTACATGTTATATCAAGTATATTCATATATCATGAATCATGTATATGAAGAATGTATTGGTTTAATTAAGATTTTTTTATTATTTTTTTATACTGTACATAAAAATTCTAAATTTTCAGAAAATTTAAGCCATTTTTGGGCTATTTATAGATATTTTAATTTTGAGAGTATTGTACATAAATTTTATTCGGTAGGTACTCTGAACTAAAACTTTTAGCTTAACAGAAATGTTTGTAAATTTAACAGGAGATTCATTCAAGAGTCTTACTTTGTGATCAAAAAAAAAAAAAAATATTAAGTTTAATGTAGTATTTTGTTTTATAAAGGAATTTTAATATCAAATTTTGATGAAAATTGTTTGAGTAAAAAATTATGGGGAACAAATCTAATTTTTCAATTAATTTTTTTATTTGTAATATATAATAATTAATATTTTTATGTATATAGCCGACTTAAGAACCATGGTGAAGTCAGAATTGAATGGACTAACTAAATTTTGAAACTAAAACTCTTTGAAGTTCTAATATTATGTGGATATTATAATATTTATTACGTTATGTTAAATAATTCTGTATTGCAAGCTTTTGATTATGTTTGTCATAGTCGAATGGTTGAATATGTCTATTATCATCCTTAGGATTGCGAATTTAATCCCTTGTTTCGAAAAAAATTCTTTCCTTTTACCTAAATAAAGAAAAAAAAATGCAATTTAGGTGTACCAGGAACCCTATCGCTTGCTCGGGCTATTTTAATCGAAAAATACCTCTTGATTTGTTGTGGTATCTTTTCTACTAGAAATCTTGCTCTGGTGTATCAAGTGTAGCCTATTTTCTGAAAGCAAATTTTATCTTTATGATAATTTAAGGTGGTCATTTTTGATTTTCCCTAAAGCTTTCCAAGCAAATGTGAACAATTTGGAAAAAAAACACGGGTAAACGGGGAAAAACGCAGAAAAAACTGGAAAATCGATATAATATTAAATAAATATTATTATAGAAAATATATAATGCCTATTTAATTATTTGACTATAATATGATATGTATATTGTTGACAAAGCATCACTATCAACTGAACTGCACTCAGAATCGGTTTTTCGTTAGCAATAGTTTATCATTCCTCAAAGATTAAATACCTATGATAGTGGCTGCACCCGTCTACATTATCCTACGACGTCTTTTTTTTTATTTTAATTTTTTTTATACTCTAAAAATTCTACCAGAAATCTTGCTCCAAAATGTTAAGTATAGCAACTTTCCTGGTAAATCTTTATTTTCAAATTTATTTTTTGTTTTTATTTAAATTTTTTATTCTTAAAAATATTCGTAGAGATTTGAAATTTTAACAGAAAACTTATATTTACTTTTTCTAAACCTTGTAAAATTTTTAAAACTTACTAGCCATTTTGAGTTATTTATAGGCATTTTAATTTTGGTTCTTTTTATTTACTTAATTTTTATTTGGTAGGATAAAATTGTTAGTCCATATAGAAATGCTTGAAAATTTAACAGGAGGTTCATTATAAATCATACTTTATGCCAAAAAAATGAGTTTAATGTAAAATTGTTTTCATAAACATTTCAATATCAATCTTTATTAAAATTGTAAATATTATGGCCTTTCAAAACATGAATAACCGATCTCCATTCAGAATCATTTATTGTCAGCAATGATTAATCATTGGTACAATAATTCGTATCATTCGTACAGGTATACATTAAATTCCCCTTTATGTCTTATCTTCCTGACTTTTCACCTACACCAGTGGCTCATCCATCGTATGAAGTATATCCGTCTTTTTTAAGTCTTTATATATTGTTATATATTGTATATTTATATATTGTACTTCCAAATTTTAATTTTCAAATGGTAACCTAGGTACATTAAAAATAACATACGATTGCAAAAAGTTTTCCTTTTCCTAAAAAGAAATCCTCCAACCCATAGAGGATATTTATCCAGACATGTATATAGGTAAAACACTAATATTCGCTTTAATGAGTTACAACAGTTTAAAGTTTAAACCGGAGGAATAAGGTATTTATTATCTAAAAATTAATATGAAATGTTTAAATTCCCTAAATTACAGACGGTACTTTCAATATTAATGTTTTGTCCGCCAAAATGTATAGAAAATATCCTTTATTTGAATCTATGTTGGGTAATTACTATTTGAAAATTTAAAAATCCAATGTGAATACTCCTTTCAGGTATAAGGAGTAGGATAAGAAATTTAAATATTTTTAAAATAAAGCTCAAATGATTCCATAATTATCAAAAAAAAAAAAAAAATCAAATTCACTTAAAATTCTTCAAAATAATAATAATAATATGTAATAAAATAATTTATGATAAATTATTCACTATCAGTATTGGGGATTTATTTAAAACTGTAAAAAAAAAAAAAAAAAAAATTGAAAAATGTTGATTACAACAAAATAATAGTTTATTTCTAAATTTACTTTTTATAACCCAAGTGTAGATATGAGTGATGACTATGCACTATTTCACTTGCCCAAACCATTTTTATGAACCATTAGTTATGAAGTTATTGCTAAAAACACACGTGGTCGAAATGGTGAAATGTTCGAAGTTCGATTTCTACCATTTTTGAGTATGCCAATATTTTGAGGAAAATTTAAACGAATATGCGGTCTGATTTCCAAATTTTGTTTGTGCACAAAAATGTATTCATAATCTTTAAAACGCATGTAACTAAAATAAAACTGAACAGGCTGTTCCTCTTTATTATTTGCTGCCCAATCACATTTTTTTTTTTTTTTAACAATAACGTAAAATCTAATAGTCTGTACAATTTGGAATCAGCCTGTAAAATAACACAAATTATTTTCAAAATCACTATGATATTAAACACATGATTTGTTCATATCTCCATGATTGAGCCTTTGATCTGTCACGTTTATTATTTTAGTGTGAATAAACAATCTCAGTTTGCAATTAAATATTATAAATCACTAATAAGAAATTTAAACGTAAAAATGTAATAATAATTATAAATATTTCAGGATAAAACGTCGATGAATAAAATGATAGTATGCAAGTTGACTGATAAATATTTATTACACGATTTGAATAATGCTGTACGGTAAGCTATACGATGTTTAATACTATTACTGTATATTTTTGGTTTTTTGTTTTTAAATTCGGAGTATAGTGAAGAATCTATTTGTTTTACTAAGATATATGTTTTTTTCTGGATAATACTTTTTTAGTTAGTAAAAATGTTCCAAAATGTGCACACAGTACCACAAAAGGCGCGGAATTTTCGTTCTGTAATACTTTATTTGAAATATTTATCAAAAAATTCAGTAGTTCACTCCCTATTCTCTAGGTTCTTTTTTTATTTTTGTAGATTTCTGAGTTTTCTTGTTACAAAAAAAAAAAAACAAATAATACTACTTTGCTCAAAACCATTTTATCGTTTGCAATGATTTATCGTTGTATACAATATATAAATTAATATTTATATGTATTCATTAATAACAGTGGCCTACCCATGATCAGAACCGAATTTTTTTTCTATTTTTATAGCATACGGTTTTGTGATTACTTGCAATAATATGTATTATAGTTATGAAAATGAAGTAACACAAAATACAGCACAATAGAATTAAATAAAATATATACCTAGTATATATAATTAAGGTAACAAATATACATAAAACTTGGTATCAAAGTTCCAGGCATCAGACTATCAGAGATCTAGTTTTCTCAATCAAAAAATGAATGTGCGTTGGATTGTGAGACAATGGATTCTGGATCCTTGATAGGAACGGCTTGGGCATACGAAAGTAATGTGGTTGATAGTCTGTTCCTACAATCATATTCTAGTGAATTTCTATTTTCCTGTGCAAGGAATCTGCACAATTACCATGGAATGTACAAACTCCATTAAGCGTGTACAATAGGTCACGTAGTAGGTCAAAACCTGTGGATGTATAACTAGAGTTATTGTTCTCCGGAGATTTTTGTTCTTTATCGCGTCTACCAATTTTTGTTCCCAGTTAACGATTTTTTTTTCAATGTTACGTATTTACATTATAGATACGGTAAAACGTGTTTGATCGAAAACGTCGGGACCGAACTGGACCCGGCATTGGATACATTGTTTTCACGTGCAACTTTCGTCCAAGGAGGCATCACCGTAATACAAATCGGTGACACGACCGTACCGTACAATAATAACTTCCAATTGTTCATAACCACCAACCTACCGAACCCGCATTATTTACCAGAGGTCTCGATAAAAGTAATGTTGGTAAATTTCACTCTCGTGTCCAGCGGTCTGATGGATCAACTACTGTCTATCGTCGTGATGCAAGAAAGACCAGATCTTGAAGAGCTTAGGTCAGCGATCGTCATCAGCACGGCTCAAATGAAATCAGATTTAAAAGATATACAGGATCGGTTATTAAAAAGACTAACTTCGGCTGAAGGATCGCCAGTAGATGATATTGAACTGATAGAAATGTTAGAAACGTCAAAATTGAAAAGCGCAGAAATTTTAGTAAGTTCTCTGGTATAGCAAATACTATAGGTAGATACTATATTCGATCAATTATTGGTTTTAGGAAAAAGTCGAAACTGCCGAAGTAACTCAAAAAAATATCGACGAGATACGAACTTTATACATACCAGTAGCGAATCGTGGTCAATTGCTATACTTTTGTTTGGCCGGACTTCCGTCCGTTGATCCTATGTACCAATACTCGTTAGAGTGGTTCGTGGCGTTGTTTATATCTAGTATTCAAGTGACCGAAAAATCGGGTACTTATCTATATTTTTCAACTTAAATTATTTTTTTTAATTTTCATACATTCTTATACGAAAAAACGCGAATAAGTAAAAAAAATTTCATCACCGGGAAAACCCTAAATAATATTTACGCTTAACACCTATATAACAGATAAATCTCGTACTACCACTAAAGTTTTGTCATCGTCCCATGATTTAATTATTTTCGGCTTATCCGTCTTATCCTAATAACTTATACTCTGTTCATCTCTCGTTCGTCGATCACCTTGTCCTCACTAATTCTTCATGGCTATTCGTATTTGGTGATGATTTCAATTTTTCGGATATCTCCGGGTCTAACGACAATTATGGTCTTTGCTACTTATCCTCCTCTTCTATCTCAAATCTTAGTCTCCCTGAATACTTTCCGCTGCATGATTTTTATCAATTATCTTTTATATTATATAAGTATATATACTTATATAATTAGGGAAACAGTCCTCACTAATTCTCCGCCATTAAAAGTGTCCTCCGTCTCTGTAATTCCTCCTGATATTTCCCATTCTTCCCCCTTTATCTCAATTGATATTACTATCCTTTCCTTCCTATTTTTCCCAACCGTGTGTTATTAAGATGTTTTTCGTACCTAATTCAAATCTATCTCCGACTTCTTCAACTCTTTCAATTGGGATTTTACTCAGTATTCTTATGACGCAGATGACACTATAACTGTGCTTCTCAATGCCCTTCACTCAGCTACAATATCTTTCGTACTACAGGTCACTCACAGCCCCAGTAATTTCCCACCATGGTTTCCCTCCATATCAAGAGCCTCGTTCACATTGAAAACCGTAATCACTGAATCTTTATTTGACACCGATCTTTTTCATAACTTTGTGCCAATGTAAATTCCTGTCAAGAAATGTTATCGCAAATTCATCTGCGGCACTGAATTCGATCTCAAGCTTAATTCACGTTCTTTCTGGTCTTTCGTTTATATATATTGTTCCTTTTCACCCATTTCCTATTGTCATTTACAACAGTGTTTCCAGTTAAACTATACCGATGCTGCAAATCTCTTTGCCAAGTATTTTTCTTTCGTCTATTCCATCTCATATTCTCTTTCTTCTCTTCCACTAATAAACATTTCCACTTCCTCTTTCCTCCCAAATCAAATCCATATCACCATAAACGATATCTTAAATACCTTGTTCATCTTCCACAACTTAAAGTTAATATTTATAATTCACGAATATTTTAAAATCAAAAAGATTGAATAATATTTAATAAATATAAAATGGGTAATAACTCAATTTCGTTAGAAATTGGATAAATCCCCTTTCTGAAATTAGTGATTCATATATTATACATATATTATATATTCAATGATACAAAACAATATATTTTATACTTATACTAGTACTACTAATAATACATTTTATTAATATAATAAAGTACAAAATATTATTTTTTGTAATCGAGATAACGAAAAAAGCGTCTTTTACAAAAGTACAATCTACTTTATAACGAATTTATGTAAACTGCACTACAGCATTACGAAAAAAAAAAGATTTCGAAAGGAGGGGCAAGCGAATAGCACTGGATTGAAGTGATAAAAGTTGGTTTGAATTTCAACATGAGTTTCTGCACCACGTTGAAGGAGGATGGTTTTTTGTTTAGTTTTGGACATCCATACATACCCCTAAATGAAACCAGGAAGTTACGAATAGAATTTTATACATATATAACCTTTCAGAGTTGTTAACTAACAACCTCCTACTCCTAACATTTTTATGCTTAAATATCTCCCTTTTTTAATTGCATAGTAAATAGTTGCAGTATAGTATATTATTACCCCTGTGTAGTACTTATTATTATAATATTTGGTTATTTATTATTGTTTTACAAAGAATATTTCTAGAGTACAAAGTAGGCGTAGAGGAAAATTGCCTCGGAGTAATAAAGCACTGCTTTTTACGGGTGTTTTTTTTAGTATAAAACCGACTGAATTATTTTTTATTTATGAATTTATAGATATTATTAGCCAGCGTGTTGAAATTATAATTAATCACTTCACGTTTAATTTGTACTGTAATGTATGCCGATCGCTTTTCGAACGGAATAAAATTCAATTCGCCATACTGTTGTGCGTGCGGATTATGATCGAAAATGGAAAAATATCTCTAAACGAATGGACATTTTTCTTAGTCGGCGGAAATCCGCTTAAGGTTCGCCGATGGTGTAATACAAACATAATTAAATCATAATATTTATAAATTATAAGTTTCAATGTGTATAGAATATTGAAAATCCGGCGCCTCAGTGGCTTTCTGACAGAACGTGGAATGAAATTATGGCGTTAGAATATCTGCCGAATTTCGTAGAGTTCGTACGATTGTTTCCGACAAAAGCAACGTCATTTAAAAAGATTCTGGATTCGCCAGAACCTCATAAGTGCATTCAATTTACATAGTTTATAATGATATATTAATAGATCTGATACCAAAAATAACTTTTGTTCTGTTCAAATTTTAAAGTTTTTTTTACTTCTAACAATTACTAGAGCTTAATTGAACTGTGATTCCTCTATTTTATATTTTTTATTAAACTAAACATTAAAACTTAAAATTTTCCAAATTGTTTTTCGAAATCCAATATTGTAATTTTATAAATATAATTCAAAACAAAATGTACAAACCTAACCTAATATAATGTAATACTAACGTTAGTGTAACAAAATGTATTTAATAATCATGAATCAAAAAGTTTCTATAATTTGTTGAAGTTTACAAAAATTATTAACAAAATCATTTTTCATGGACAAATTTGTGAATCATACCTATTATTTAGTAATGGCAATAAAAATAATTTAAATTATCATTTCCTTCAAAAAATTATAGAAAACTAACTATTGATAATTTTAAAATATTTTTAACAATAAAGTTTTTTTTTAAAAATATACTTATAAAATTGCTATCTTGAATTTTGTAAAAAATACATTTTTAAAAATATAAATTTTTTTTTAAGTCTTAAAACAAATATATAAAATATAAAGACTCAAGTAATCATTACAAGGGAAAAAACTTAAAAATTTGAACAGAACAAAAGTTGTTTCAAATGTTAGATCTTCGTGTTATGTACAAGCCTGTAATGTATAATAAGCAAATAAGCAATTTGATTCTATATACTATTTTTTTTAAAGAGAAATATTTCCGGATCCGTGGCATAAGGTTTTCAATCGCTTCCAGTTATTAATAATCCTCAAGTGCTTTAGACCGGATAAAGTATTGAACGGACTCCAAGACTTTTTGATCGAAAATCTCGGTTCGCGTTACGTTGAACCGCAGTCGTCCGATTTGGCCGAAATGTACAACGATTCTTCGCCGACGACCCCGTTAATATTCATTTTGTCCGTAGGCACAGATCCGGCTGCCGAGTTGTATAAATTCGCAGGCAGAGTAATAATTTAACCATACATATCATATAATACAAATATTATTCGTATAATATTTAGAAACATATTTTATTAACTCAAATGACTCAAAAATAATTCGATATTGTGTTGTGTTTATTTAGATGAACATGGCCAAGAGATTATTTGTAATTTCACTAGGCCAAGGTCAAGGACCTCTTGCAGAAAGTTTGTTCAACCAATGCATGGCAAGCGGTTCTTGGGTCTTCTTTCAGGTTAGTTTTTCAACACTTTTTTTTTCTGTGTGTGAACCAATTTTCTACCAGAAAACTTTCTCCAAAGTATGGACTACAGCACCTTTTCTGAAAGGTAATTTTCTCTCATTGGTGCATTGAGAAAGTTAGATTAGGGTTTGAGATCATTTCGACTTTCCAAGGGGTTTTCAAAATAATCCGGAAAAACCTGAAATAAAAGTATAGGTAAAACGACAAATATTTACGGCGCGCTGTTTTCATTGTTTTTTAATTTTTATTTACGATGTTTTCTATCATTTCTCTATTTCAACAATGACACAAGATGGATTTTATTTCTTATAATATTTCACCACTAACCGAGTAGGTCGTTTTTTTGTATCCAAAATAGTATTCCTAATAATTGGGAAAAACCAAAAAATTAATTAATATTTCTGGCTACGTAACGTCCCGGTATAGGGTTCATCATCCTGGCACCCGTACTTTGGAATTTTAAAACCGAAACATTATTATTATTTAGTAAGAAATTTGTAATTATTTTTAACCTGTTTTCGAATCTGCAAATCTAAAATGCACCACACAACATAGATAACCAATACAATCACAATTGTTTTTCAGATTTACGTTTTAAATTGATGAGTATTTTTTTGGGCCAAATAAATTTTATTCACATAAATCAGGAATACATTGAATTTAGTGATTATTACTTTTTCATTGAAACTTTGTGAAAACGATGAAAATTTAAGACCGATTTAATCTAAAATACACTAAATTAATTAATCGCAATTAAAATTATCGGTGTTAAAAGTTAATCATGATATTGTTACTGAACACTTCGATGTTATTGACGATGTGAGCACAAAAATTAAAAATGCTAAATGAATAAAAATTATTGAGAAATTAAAAGCAGCATTGGTCTATATATATATACATGTAAGAGACAGCCATAGCTTGAAAACTCAGTTAAAAATTTAAAAAGGAAGGCAAAGTTGGAAATCGTCTTCAAAACACACTTAGAGAACACTTTTATAAGCTTGTTGCATTTTATTTGTATAATGCATACGGACAAAAGGTGCAATTATAATAAAAATTGTTTATCTTATTATTTACAGTTATGAGCTAAATTCACATTCCTTTTAAATTTACAAAAAACCATTAACAAAAGGATCAATATTAGCTATACTCATTAAACGATGAATTGGTGCATTTAATACTAACTGATTACTTGCTAAAGACGAATAAAACAAATTAACATTTCTTAAATTAATTTTAGGAACCTTAAAACTGATTAGTTTTAATCATAGATAATAAATCGGACATTTAATTAAATTATTAGGTTAATTTATATAAGAAAAATAAATTTGATTTTTTTTCTTCTTATTTGTAAAGGATTTAAATTTAATGACTCATAAGATGTGTGCATCTCTCTCTATATATATTATAATTAATAGAAACAAATCTTAAAAATCGGTGTTGGACAGATTATATAATATTAATTAAAGCGAAACACTCGAATGAACTTCAAAATCGACAACAAATGAAAATAATATACCTTGTTGATGATAATTGTTAACGCTCACCGTGGTTAACAATTATAATTGGCTTATCTGTGTGAATCGTAATTAAGGTCTGTTAACGGTGATTAACATAGTTAAAGAAATCAACCCTTAGTTGCTAAACTATGCTTATTATCCGAATGGTTTTTACTAATAAATTTAGGTTGGTGTTTTTCTCGTGTTTGGGAGATTTTGCATACTCGGAAACAAAGGTTATAAATAATTACAAATTTCCTACTAAATAGTAGCGTTAGTTTGGTTTCATTTGAACAAGTTTAAGATGATTCGGGTGCCAGGATGACGTCATTTCAGCACCCGGAAAATAAAAAAGTATTTTTCTTGACTTTGGGAGGGATTACAAAGTTGGAAACAAAGGAAACAATTTCAAATTGCTTACTAAATAATGGCGTTGGTTCGGTTTTAGAGTGAGAGTGCCAGGATGACGGATCTTTCGGTTTAATTATTTTAATATATTTATGATCGATTTCATTCCTTTTAATACATAACCATTGATAGATAAAGTTGTTTTTTGACATCTAAAATATTTTTTAGACTTGATATTTTACAGAAATCTTATATTTTCGTAATCAAATTGCTATTTATAGACATTTTAATTTTGCGAGATTTTACGTAATTTTTATTTGGTAAGTATTCCATGGATAAAATTTTTAGATTGAACAGAAATTAACAGAAATTTAACAAGAGGTTTATTGTAAGTCATACTATGTGGCCAAAAAAAATAAAACATTGAATTTAATATAGTTTTTTTATTTTAAATTTCTATAAGAATTATTTCAATATCAAATTTTGATGAAAATCGTAAATATTAGGTACGATACCTTTTCAACATGTATAACAAAAGATAATTGAATGCATATCTATAAGCAATGATAAACCATTGCTAACAAAAACACGATTCTGAGCTGAGTTCAATTGATAGTGATGCTTAAGTGTTAAATGAAGAAATATAATGTAAACATTAATATTTAAAAGAATGTATTGAAATTTAATTCTATTCTATTTTAATATAGTTTGGTCTATAATAATGCTTTTTCAACAATGTGCATTTCCATGAAAACAATAATTGTTAAAAAGATTATTAAAATAATAAAAACTTAATAATAACAAAAAATAAATAAAAACGGTTGCCAATGACAACCTTATTTTTAATCTTATAATATTTTTTAACTCAATGAACCACCAGGTTTTCTTCATTATCTCGAATATAAATGGGAATTTCAAAGAATCACCTTTCTAAAGTACCGCTCAGATAACATTTCTTTTTAGAAAAAGTGCTATACTTGACAATCGGAGTGAGCTTTCTGGTACAAAAAGTGTTCACATAAAAAAAGAAACAAACATCATTGTAAAATCAATACATTCCTTACTTCGCTCAGAATCTAAAATTTAAAATCGAACCGAAAAGAAACTAAAACAGAAAAAAACATAAAGTTTACAATCCCTGCTTGAAATATAATTGAACTTTCCACTAATGTTTAACATTTCAAATACCTGTGTCTTTTAACCCGAGATCCCTCAGCGTGTACATACTTTCTTTGTAATTTATAATACTCATACGTACAAAAACTACTAACATACATCATACAAACTTTATTTTAATATTGATACTTACGGAAGAGACAATGTTTATGAGTTGATTGTCTAAAATTATATTAAATGGGTGGAATAAAATAATAGAATCTACGTCTATATATAAAACAGGGTAACGTGACGTCAGAACTCCGCGTAAATTCTACTACGCTGCATTCTGTCACGTCTGGACGCTGCAAGAAAATCGTACTTTATACAATAATAATGAATCCATAATTACTCTAAATAAATTGTAAATACATAGAACTGTCATCTGTCACCGAGCTGGATGCCTCGTCTGGAATTCATCGTGGAAACGATAGACCCGGAAAAAGTGCATAAAGACTTCCGAGTGTGGCTGACGTCCAATCCGTCACCGGTATTCCCGGTGTCTATACTGCAAAACGGTGCCAAAATGACCGTGGAACCACCGCGTGGTATTAAGGCCAACCTGTTACGCGCGTTCGTGGCTGGTCCGGCATCAGAGTACGCTAGCCAGATGGCTGTCAACGAAAATACCGGAGACGAAGCCGTCACATTCAAGTGGCTACTGTTCTCGTTGTGCTTATTTCACGGCGTGTTGTTGGAGCGCCGTAAGTACGGTTCACTCAGTTTCAATGTTTCGTACGAGTTCACAGACGGCGACCTGCGAATATGCGCTGATCAACTGCGCGCGTTCTTGTCCGAGTACCCGGGTGGCACCGTTCCGTACGATGTGCTCGTTTACACGGCTGGTCACATCAACTACGGGGGCCGGATCACCGACGATTGGGACAGACGGTGCTTGATGAAAGTGCTCGGTGATTTTTACCAACCGATTGTTGTTCAGGCCGGGTACATGTTCGACGCTGGCTCAGGCCATTACCGGCAGCTGGCCGCCGACGCCGATTACGATGATTATATTAATTATATCAAGACGCTTCCGGTCAATGACGACCCGGGCATTTTTGGTCTCCATTCCAACGCTAACATCACGTACGCCCAGGCTGAGACGTTCAGGTTGGTAAAATTTTTAACTATGCTTCGATTCGAGAATTTCAGTGTTTATTGCATCATTTATTTATGTATTACTTAATTCTTATGTTAGCTAAATTATTATTACCCATCAAATAAAAAAAAAAGGTAAAAAGTTAAATACAAAAAAACAAACGGACATACTTCACAAGACATAAGGGCCACTGTTGTAAAATTTGGTTTATAATCGTAAGAAATAATTCTTTAAGTACTATTATTTTTGTACTTATTTCCGATAATATATTGGTTTTACTAATGATGATTGATTTTCCCAGGAGTTTTTCCAACAAATAGAAAAACTCGGAGTAACATGGGAAAAACGGAAAAATATATACCATAATAAACAAATATAATTAAAAAAAATATATAATGTAAATGCAATTATTTTACCAAAATATGATATATATATATATTGTTGACAAAGCAACACTATTAACCGAACTCCGCTCAGAATCTTTTTTTCATTGAAAATGGTTAATCGTTGTATACATTAAATTTCCCCTCTACTCCCTTCCCAGCTACTCATCTACAACATTGGGTTACCCATGTACGAAGTATGTCAATCTTTTCTCAGTCTATAAATATCTTTTACAAGAAATCTTGCTCCAATCCTAAACTTTATAGGACATTTTTTATAGCATATTTTGTCTAGTTAATGCATTGAGGATGCCAATTTTTTATTTTTCTTATAATTTTCTTAATAATTGATTAAAACAAACAATTTTCGTTCAATTTTGCTTCTAAAACGGTGGTTTACAATCAGCTGTATTGGCCTTTTTTAATTGCTTATATTTAAATTAATAGTGATGATAATACAATTTTACGAATTTGTATTAAAACTATTTGTATTGCCTTTAAGCGTTACAACCGGTCCGACTGATCACAGGTCTGATATTCGGTGCCTTTGCATCATCAAATAAAGGTGCACTAAGAAAGTATTTTTCGTAATTTTAATTTTAAAGTGTGAAAATGGCCAAAAAATTTAATTTTAAATGAAAAACTGACTGACTCACTCACTCGCATTTATCAACGTACAGCCTAAACCGTTGGGGCTACTTGACATTACTTAACATTTTTATCATGAGCATCTACTAGAGAAATTTTTTTTTTAAATTTAACTACTAAAGGGGTAAAATACAGGATGAAAGTGTGGATAAAAATTTGCTATTTTTGAAGTTAAATTCATAGAAATGAACCAACTAAACCAATGGACGGACACAAAAATGTTGTTTATGTTAAGAATTTTAATATGTTTTTAAAACCAAAAATATCACTAATATTATGTTTGCTACTCCTTTATACTTAGGAGTAATTTCTACTTGCTTCCTTGTCCATATAACCATAAACCAAATTAACTAATAATAATCATTTTTCATTTTTGTTACCAAAGTAACCTAAAATCAACAAAAGTAATACAAATTTCGTTCCAAAAACACCAAATACCTGTCTGTGTCAGTTACTCTTTAGTGGTTGAATTTCGAAAATCTGACTTTAAGCTATATGTATACGGACTTGTTCATTCGTTTTTATGTGTACACTTTTGAATCTTCGCGAGCGATAATTTCGATTGTAGACCACACATAGGCAATTAAAATTTAAAGAACTTGCTTTTCTTAAAAATCTATATTAATAGATTTAACCTATCGATGCGTCTTGATTATTTCCACGTTATGATGTCTACATCATGCAATATAATAAATATAGGACGCTGGCCGTGCTTTTGTCGCTGCAACCTAGTGCCGTGACAGTCAGTGGCGGTTCGGACGGAGAAGATAGCACGTTCAAGACGGTAACGGCGCTCATAAAGGACATACCCGAACCGTGGGCGTCCCTAGACGAAATCCAGGCCAAGTACCCGGTCATGTACTCGGAGTCACTAAATACCGTCTTGCTCCAGGAGTTGACCCGGTACAACCGTCTGTTAAAAGCTATATCAGACTCGTTGCGTAACTTGCTCAAGGGCCTTAAAGGGTTAGTTGTATTAACCAAGGATCTCGAGCAAATGACCGATCAGATAGCGTCCAATCAAATACCAACGATGTGGTCCAAAAAGGGATATCCTTCCTTGAAACCACTGGGTAAGTACATGTCTTATATTTTCATTACCAAATAACTGCTGGTAGTTTCGCAATTCAATATCCTAATTTAAGCTCTCCATCTACCATAATATAATTATCAATGAGGTCTACGCATAATGTTTTAGGTGCATGGGTGACAGATTTACGGGTTCGCGTTTCGTTTTTAAATAACTGGATCAGAGATGGCATACCCGCGAGTTTTTGGATATCCGGGTTCTTCTTCCCCCAAGCATTCCTCACTGGTTGTTTGCAAAATTTTGCACGGCAAAATACTATTTCAATCGATACCATTCAATACGGGTTCAAGGTATTAGATAAAAAATATAACAAGCGACCAGCTTATGGATGTATTATCCACGGTCTATTTTTGGAAGGATGTCGTTGGAATGAACAACTTCATTCATTGGAAGAATCCAAACCTAAAATACTCTACTCAGGTTCCTAATAGTAATCTATTTAAAATCGATACTTGATAGGTACTCTCATGTACCTATCATAATATTTTCATCGTTGTGTAATAACTAATCAATATTAATGTAAAATTTTTGCTTTTCTTCCGCATCGTTTTGAATGTGACTTTCAATTATTCTGTATTATATATTTCAGAAATGCCTCCCATTTGGTTAATACCCGAGCAAAATCACAGATTCAAAGATGGTATGTATTTGTGTCCAGTGTATAAGACATTGACCAGAGCCGGTACTTTGTCGACGACGGGTCATTCGACAAATTTCGTTTTACCAATAGAAGTGCCGAGTAATCAGCCTCAAAGTCATTGGATAAAACGAGGTGTTGCTCTCATCTGTGCTTTAGATTATTAAAATTAAAAAATGTAATTTATTAATATTTATTACAATGCTGTATAAAATATACGTCAATAGTGTTTCTTTTTTTTTATCGTATACTTTAGTAAACAATTGTCAATTAATACTCAACTACATATAAGGTTTTTTTTTTAGATTTTGAGCATATTGGTTTTAACATAAAGTGAAGGTGGAGGTTTCAATTTTTGAGAAGGTGACAAATACGTGAATCACCTAGGAGCATCCATGTCATATACAGCCCCCTCCACCCCCCCTCCAATAACCTTTACATTTATTAGGTATTTTTAATTATTATTAAATGTTAAACATATTTGAATCAATACTGATATACTTTACGCCTAAAAATTAATTTAATAAAGATTTAGTAACACCTTGAACTCTAAATAATACTAGAACAAATATAATACTAATTATACAATATAATACAATAATACTTTAAACAAATAGCCGTTGAAATGGTATACAAAAGATATTTATATGGGATCACAAACTCATAATCTTGTGCATAAACAAAACATTAAAACTATACCATGTTTCAAAAGGGAATATACCGCTTTCGCAACCAGTTATCTTTTGGCTGGGTATATAAGTAGTTATAAATCAGGGTATACAGTGTGTCCCACCGAGTTCGACGGATTTTCTAGCAATGTTAATATTAAATTTGTTTCGATTATTATTTTTCAATTGATTTGTCTTTGAGAGCAGCGTCGATTTGGAGAAATTGTCATCCCCTAAACACACACACACACACACACAAAATAACTTTATTTATTCAGTTTGGAAAATTTTTAAAATAGTCATTTTGTAAAAAATATTATTCTTAAGATTGTAATGTATCATTTATTCATATCCGATTAATTAAAAAATAATAAAATATCATTAATACATTATCAGTCAGTGGTAAGTAATGAACATTTTAAAATATTGCGAGTCTTGTTAATACACATTACATTCCGAGCTTAGCAAAGGGAGCTATTGGTTTTACTAAGATATTTATTTCTTTTCTTTTTTCTAGTCCGAGGGCACATTTTTTCTTACTAAACTTGCTCTGATTATTACGTATAGCTACTTTTCTGAAAGCTCAAATTGTCTAGATTGTATTTTAAACAGCTTATTTTCTGATTTTTGACGTCGCTTTTTAAATAAAAGCAATTAAGAGGGAAAAACGTAAAAAAAACATAAAATTTCACGATTTAATTATTTTATAAAAATATGGACGACGTTTTCTACCAGAAAAAATGATTTAATCGAAAAATCAAAAAATACTTTTTTTATTGACTTTTTAATTTACTTTTTAACGGTATCATGACCAACACTTTTGAGCTTTTAAATAATTTTAATATTTGGGAGTTTTTTTGCTGTAATTCGATTATAAATACACGTAGAGACTGACCGTAGAGATCGAACTGCGCTCGGAATCGTCTTTCATCTAACAATGGTTTATCGTTGCTTACGGATATAAATGATATAACCTTATTTATCCTACCTTCCCAGTATCAGCTCTTTTTTCTTTTATTCTTGTCAATCATGTTTTCAATAATTTTTTTTTTAATTTTATGAAACATTCTGAACATAATATGCTATTGTTTTTATTAGCTGATGTTGTGTGTTTGTGTGGTCATTTTTGGCGAAATAGTAATATAATATTATATGTTTTATAATAATAATGTTAACCACCAATTAATTAAACAATAGAACTAAAAAATTCATAAAAAATCCCTCTTATTTTGAAAATGCTGGTACATATAAACTCAAATGTAACTGTAATAAATTTTATATGGGTAATACAAATAGAAGTTTTAAAATAATACATAAAGATTTAAAAAAATGAAAAAAAAATGACCCATATCAAATTTCGCTAAGAAAATAACCATTATACAAGTTTTGATATTAATACAGACTTAGAAATATTAAATACCCAAATTTAAATGTATATTAATTCAGTTTAAGAAGAATTACACATACACAATGAAATAAAGAAAAAGAATTTAAAACATATTTTAAATGTTTTAACTGATTTTAAAAATAATATCTTATATCAATACATTTAAGATAATAAATAATAACCAAATAGTTTATATTTCTTAAAATATCTATGTTTAATAAGAGCTAATTTTAAATAAACTTTCCTATTAAAATAAATTATTTCCATGTTCTATGTAAAACGACCAATTTGTATAATTTTTTCTATGTATTCCTTCATTTCATTTGTGTATTCAGTAGTGTTTTACATTTTGATTATGATATACCTGATGATGAATTTTTAATTCGAAACCAGTCAACAACGGATTAAGTATCTAAAACAAAATCTCACAAGTATATTAATAATGTATATCCCTCCACTTCTATGCCAAAATAAATATAAAATATACCATTAAACAATACAACAATACTTCATTATATATAATTATTTACTTCGCCATTCATATGGTTTATGGTAAGAAAAAATATAAATTGAAATATTCAAATACAAATATTGAAATTTTACTATATTATTACAATAATTTACACACATTTATCTATATTAAATAATTTTTAAATTTACACTGACCATTTGTAAAAAATAAATATATGTTTATAAATTACTGAACAAACTATTTATCAATAATACAAATATTGAATTAATATGTACAATGATTGAACTAGCATAAGAAGATTGTAAAATCATATAATAACAACACAAATTATAATTGTAAATAACTTATCTGTGCAGTTTTAATTATGGAAATATTATTAGTAAGAGTAAATAACTTAACAAGCTATTTAATAATATTTTTTGATTTATGTTTGGATAGTTAAATCTGCCATTAAATTTTATCATAGACATCAATTTTGTAATTTGGTGTTAAAGAGTAATTTGCTTAAGCTTGTAATTTTTACTATGAGGGTTTAACTCACAGAATTTTAAATGATTCTTATTATAGTTCATAGGAGTTTGACAATATGGACAATAAACTTGTTTACAATGGTTAGGTGCAGTTGTAGAAAAAAGTGGTGTTTTGGGCGTAGCTTGATACGCTGATTGGCTTATGACCATTGGTGTAGGACTAGCACTGGATCTAAGAGTTTATTGTAAAAACATAGGTTGCATAGCATACTGAACTGAATTGTTGTAATTTTCATTATGATTACCTATATATATTTGATAGGCAATCCCTGGCATACCCATTGAAGGCATGATTATTTGATGTGGAGTCAAAGTTTGTTCCAAATGTGAATTGCTCTTAGACACAACCCCAGGCATTCCCATTGAAGGAATGATCATCTGATGTGGAGTTAAAGCTTGATTCAAATTAGAAGTGCTTTTAGAAGCTACCAGATAAGTAGAATCTATTAGGTTAGTATAAGGTATTGGGTGAGTAGAAATTATCGGTTTAGTTAATGGTAATGTAGGTCTAATGGTCATAGAGTCAGGTTTACAATAAGAACGTAGTCTGTTTTTTTTTACTTTGACTTCATTGATTTTGGGAATGTATTGTCAACTGTTGATAGTTTGATTGATTTAATTGGTTCAACTGGTTTAATTGGTTCACATATTATTGTAGGTTTTATTGTAACCTCATGCACAGGCTCTTTTTTTTTTTAAAAAAATTTAATAATGTCTGATTTTCATACTCTGGAACTTTTTTGGTTTTTTCAATATACAATTCATCCAGAGTTTTCACCCATAATCTTTGATTTACATGAAATATTTCTGTCTTAATTTCTTCATTGTTTTGTGTTACCGTTTCAAAACTGCCTTCTTAAATTCAAAAATACAATTATTAATTAGTTTTAGTTTTAAAATTTTAAATTATTTACAAGCTTTATACCTAATAAAATCAACTATAGCAAAATAGTATTTTACAAGTGCAAGATGAATTAGTAAAATTATCAAGCTAAAATAAGGCTACAAAAACAAAATATAAATATATAATAAATCCACAATATTGAGAAACATGTTAAAAGGATAATATAAAATAAAATTATTTTTATTTTTATTAAGAAATTATAAATCAGTATAACTAATTATAACTATAAATTAATTTTTAATTTTGTTTAATAAAATGTGTATAACATTATTTATTTATATACAAATGTATTAGTATGGCTGATAAGAAAATTGTAAGGAAACAATTATCTTTTCATTAATATTAATACATATAGATAAACATACCAATTTTTAAACATTTTTAGATTAAAGTATAATCTAATATCATACATAATTGTATAATAGTCCAAAAATGATAAACAATTAAAATATTTACTCATGGTTTATGACAAGCTAAAAATGTAAATAGTAATAAACTTATAATTTTTAAGACACAAATAAATTACCTATTGTTGTTCACTTAAAATAGATATTGATAACTGTCTTATGTATAAGATACTATGAACTAAGATACATACTTGTAATTTTTGATGAACCAATTAATAATATCTATGACTTTTCTGAAATATTAACAATTCAATAGAAATAATTGTACTTTACCACACCCATGTATTTTTCATTTCAAGTTGTGTAGTTCAAGAAAGTGGCATGTGATTTTGAAAATACAATCTAATAACTTGTTGACTTTTAAGACCAACTGACTCATAAAAAACAAACATCAAGTTATCAAACATTATCGCTTATAAATTGACAATTTATATCACTAATATAAGTAATATAATGGCCATAGACAAATATATTTATAGATAGGTATTTGACTTGTTTTTGTTTATTAAAAATATTAAAAACAACGCTCCTGGTTTTTGATGCAATGAACTATTGTCAGTGATGGCGGTCCATAATCTATTCCTTCATCTGTTGTCAATTCTGTTGTACAGAAAAAAAAAAAATTCTCCATCTTTCCTATGTTACATTATCACAGTTTCAGACTACAGCGCCTCTACATTTGCCTTTGTTCACGGATAAGGTCTATGTTTGCGCCACACCTTTAATAAGGATGAAAAACTATACGCCTAGATTTCTTTTTACACAACTTTAGATAAGTGTGTGGCGTATAATATTATTTATTCAACTACCACAAGGAAAATTGGAATAGTAAACTGTACAAATGAAAGGGTAAGTCAGTAAATGAAATATTATAATTATATTTTCACTGTACTAATACAAAGTTGAAAGTATGTATATTTTGTTTATGACCTTAAGTCCTTAAAGTATTATAAGTAAAACTTTATATTAATATTAGGTAACAGATTTAAAAATACATTTTGCTGTTAATAATTTCAGATCATAATTACATCATAGAATAAGTTCAGGAAATTGCATAATATGTTATATATGTTTCAGTTTTTATCTGTGGATTTGATGGAGATTTGGGTCGCTGGTATGCAATAATGATTAATAGGTAGGTTACTTACCCATATAATCATAAATATAAATATAGAGGGATAGAGCTACATTACTTTCTATTAATAAAAGTGAAGTATAAGTGGAATCCATAGTTTACTCAATAAATTTAATGTAAGTTTTGGTAATTAATCAATTTTTTAAGACATGAGCAACACTTAATTGATCAAAAAAACATAAATATCCAGAGAAAATACCTTATATGCTCATATGTTTCTGTAAATAATACACAAGCAAGTTTAAAACTTCATTTGTATTATGTATATTCATTTTAAATAAACTTCCACAAATAATTTCTTATTGAACACCTTAAGTACACTATTTAACAAGAAAACTCCTTTGTATTATATTTTTTTTGACCTCAATCTAATTGTATAACTTTATACTTTGAAGAAGAATATGTTTTGTAAGATGCTAATAATATATAGATAATAATTAATACTGTAATGCTTTAACACTGTACATTAATACAAATTAAAATTTTACAAAGAAAAACAAATTCTTATTTTTAAATTTGAACATTAGTGTTATAACTAAAAATTTAAATACTAGCTTCATTTTTATAAAAATGATGATGACTATATCTGGAATTTAATTTTAAATACATATTTTCACTAAAACATGATAAATTTGTTCTATGTGATTTTTAATAAAATACAACATATTTTCAAATATTTTCTTATTAATAAAATATATTTTTCATTATTAGTGAAATATCCACTTTTATTATACTCATTTTGTAAACTTTGTTTACAATACTGAAAACTAAAATAATTTATCAAATAGTGTTGATTGTTATTTATAAAATGTATCTTTATCGGTTTCTTTTTCACCATTATTTGATGAAAGATGATTTATAAAATAATCAGCAAAATTAATATTATAAAAAATTTACAATAGTGTCAATTCCAGCTGAACTTCAATTCTGAATTTACTTTAATAAAAATAAAATAATACCTAAAGCAATACCTAAATAAATTTAAATGTAATATAAATTTAAAAAAATCAATATTATTCAATATTTCATGACAAATTTAAAATGTTTTATTATAATATATTTTGGTCAATTTAATTACATATATTAAACTCGCATATTTCAGCTTTTATCACATATAAATCATAAGGCCATAGACTTACCGATGACATGATTATATAGGCATAATTGAAAATCATATTTTTTTTAAAGATAAAATTAGACAGAGAAAATTAATTTAGTAGATATGTATATTAATTTGAACATTATTATTGTACAAAAATGAAAAAATTAATAGTTTTATGCATATTTTGTTTCTTTATGAATATTTTTAACCTGTGAAAATAAAATTTACAACACTATAATAATATCTATTATATTGTAATAATTAACTATAGTTATAGTAAATTCATACACAAAAATGTACACTTGCAGATTTAAATATTTAAACTATAAATTAAGGAAAAAAAAAAAACAATTCACCAAATAATGTTAATTATTATATTATGAAATATCAAAGAAATATGTCTAATAAATCTGTTAAAATTCTGAACAATATAAATAATGTAAAAATCGCTTTTAAGACTAATAATAATTTAATCAAACATAAACAATAGAACTGAAAACTTCACAAGAAATCCCCTTTTTTTGAAACCGCTGGTATATATATATACTTAAATGTAACACTATTAAATTGTATATAGGTAAGACAAATAGAAATTTTAAAATAAGATATAAAGAACATATTTCAGAAATAAAATTTAAAAAAAACTGTTCCTAATTCAAATTTCGCTAAACATGTTTTAGAAAATAACCATAATATTAGTTTTAATATTAATACAGACTTGGAAATATTAAATACCCAAAATAACATTTGCATTAACAGTTTTACTTTTACTTAGTTTTACATTTATTTTTATAGTTTTAGAAGAATTGCACATACACAATGAAATAAAGCCAAAAATTATTAATAATATTTTAAATATTCAAACTGGTTTTGAAAATAATATTTTATATCACTACATTCCAGATAATGAATAATAACTAAATAATTTATATATCTTAATATATCTATGTCTAATAATAACCCACCTTAAATAATCTCTCATTTTAAAATAAATTATTTCTATATTCTATGACCAATTTGTATAATTTTTCATGTAATATTTGTCTATGTATTCCTTTATTTAATTTTTAAATTAGTGTTTTACATTTTGATTGGGATATATCTGATGACGAATTTTTAATTCAAAACCACTCTATAATACACTTATCATAATACTCCAGGTGACACATTCATTTATTTATTTATGCATTAATATTCAAAATAAACTTAACTAAAGACATTTAAATCATTATATATATGTGTTATAGTCATGGATAATAATCTATAATATAGCCTATAGTAATAAATTTAATTTATATAATATTTAAAAAAATTCAAAAACATATTAAAGAGAAAATAAAACAAAAATTCACTAAATTATGTTATATACTATTGTAATATGAAATATTAAATTAATATGTCTAATAAATTCTCTAAAATTCTGAACAATACAAATAATGTAAAAATCACTTACATATAAACAATAGAACTAAAAATTTCACAAATAATTCCCGTTTTTTTAAAAATGCTGGTGTATTTAAAATTAAATATAACTGTAACAAATATTTTATAGGTAAGAGGAATAGAAATTATCTTTAGAAACTTGTTTATTATAAACCCTAATATTTATAAGCTCCCTATTATTTTTTTAATATAAGTATATTTATATTTTAATGAAAAATTGCATTGCTGCTATTATATTAAATCCAATTAAAAACTTATAATTGTTCTGAATAGGATTGAGGGATATTATCGAATTTCCTTAAAATAGTTAATGCTATTCCTAACCATATTGAAATCAGTTAAAACAAAATGTACTAAGGAGGCAGTTGACTCATTGTGAAATAAAATTCCTTGAATTTCTATTTTTTTGAATGCAATGAAAAAGTATAGAGCTACTAATTAAAATAAATCAGAAAACTTAGACCCCTATATTAAAAGAGACCCCTGTTAATTTGTATATGTCATTTATGGCATTGCAAAAGAAGGTATGATTGCTTTATGTTTAATTTTAGGTATATCAATTTCATAAACAGCAATCAAATGTGGAACATTCCAGTCATTAGATATGACCCATTTACCAAACAAAAAATCAAGGAAGAACTTAAAGAGAAACCTTTTAGTGACGTTAAATATGATCATAACTATGGAACAATCCACAATATTCCTTCATTAAATCAGCAGGAAATCAAACTGAAAATGACTAACGATGAAACTCAACAAACACCTATCAACACCAAAATTGAACCTTTACAGTAAGTAGAAAATTAAAACTAAAGGAATTCAAATAATAAATAAAAAATATTATCTCATTTATTTTGATTGTATTTGAGCACCATGGTTTTAATATGGTGTACATATATAATTTCCCTATTTTAGATTCTTAAAGTTGGGAGAAATTAAAAAAGGTGATAATATACTGATTTTGATTCTTTATAGTGTAATGTGTAATATGACTAACTTTGTTATCTTTAGCTTTAACATCAGTGGTGCTGTTAAAGGTTTGTCAGAGTTCAATCTCGTTTAAAAATTAAGGACAGGGCTGCTTTATATTGGGCCAAAATTTACCGATGAATGCTTCATTCATAATTTTTGTTTGTCCTAACTCCTTACTATAATGATTAATGAAATAAAAACATGCCATTTAAGATTTTGAGCTGCACTCACAATCTTCTGGTTTTATTTTTTGGTAGTAGTACGAGATTAATGTGGGTAAATTAAATTGAAATTGAAACTCTTTATGTATCTACATATTGGTATCAGGTTAGACCATAATCTCATAAATAGAATACATTCATTAAAATAATATTAAATATTCCTTTAGGCATATACCTATTATAACTTGCAAAATAATATAAGCTTATTTGTTTTTAAGATAGGTACATTCATATTATAAAGAAAAATAATTATGGGATGCCTATAAGAATCTGGAATGTGGAAATTTGGAATTTCAAAATTTTAAGTCTATATATTTCTGGAAATAATGATTCAGAATTTTAAAATTGTATTTCTGTATAAATCTCGATTATGTATGTTTGGTTACTTATAGTATGACCCCGATTTCCCTAAATTAATGAAACATAATATTGTTACATAATGCATGGTAAATTCCATCAATTGCTACTATGCTTCATACAGTGTTTCAAAAAGTATCTTATAAATGTTCTAAATAGAGTTGAGGGATGTTATTAAATTTACTAAACATAGTTAATGCTATTCCTGATCATCTTCAAATCAGTTAAAACAAAATATACTAAGGAGACAGTTGACTTATTGTGAAATAGATTTCCTCAGTATTTCCATTATGTTGAATGCAATGAAAAAGTTTGAAGATATTAATTAAAAAAAAAAAAATCAGAAAACATAAACGTTAAAAGAGACCTCTCCTTTAATTTATTTATGTAATTTGTTGCATCTTAAAAGAAATTGCATAACATGGTTTGATTGTTTTATTTATAATTTTAGGTATGGCAATTTCATGAATAGAAATCAAATATTGAACATTCCAGTTATTAGATATGACTCATTCACCAATCAAAAAATCAAGGAAGAAATTAAGGAGGAACCTTTCAATGATGTTAAATATAACCATAACTGTGGACCAATCCACAATATTCCTTCATTAAATCAACAAGAAATCAAACTGGAAATGACTAATGATGAGACTCAACAAAAACTTATTAATACCACAATTGAACCTATAAAGTGAGTAAAAAATTAAAACCAAAGGAAATAAAACACTAAATAAAAAATATTATCTAATTTATTTTTTTTGTATTATGAGTATAGTAATTTATATTTGATGTATATTAATAATTGTCTTATTTTAGATTCTTTGATTAGGGAGGAATTAAAAATAGTTATAATGCACTAATTGTGATCTCTATAGTGTAATGTATAATGTGACTAACTTTCTTTTCTTTAGCTTTACCTTCAGTGGTGCCATTAAGAATTTATTAGAGTTAAATCCTATTTTAACATTAAGGATAGGGCCGCTTCATATTGGGCTAAAATTTAACCATGAATGTTTTATTAACAATAAATATTTAACAAGCAATATTTTGTTTGTCCTTACCCCTAACTATAATGATTAATGATATAAACACATAGCATTTTAGATTCTCGTTTCTTTCGAATTTAAAATGACATCATTTTTTCTGAAAGAAAATTGACTAAGAAGGTTCTCAAGAGAGGTCATTTTTATATTTTCCTAGAGTAATTATTTTACAATAATATGATATATTTATTGTTGACATAGCATCACTATAAAACTGAACTCCACTCAGAATCATTTTTTTGTGTAAGTAATGATTTATTGTGAGTTACAGGTATACATTAAATTACCTATAACAGTGGCTAAACCTGTCCCCATTATCTTTGGATGTCTTTTTGCCTATTCAAATATAAAATATAGGTTCTACAATATAATTCCTAAACACTAACTTATAAAGAAGGGGTTCATAACATTATATACTTTACATAATAATTTCGAAATTGAGAATTATATGAACTATAGTTAAAAGTTTATTATTTTCTTTTCAAAATTTAATAGATACATACATTCATCATGCACCATGAGCATGTAATTTACAATAACATGTTTTAAATTTAAAAATCTGATAAACCTAATGCACTTAAAGTAATATCACTCTGAATGGGATTGCAATTTCAGAACATAGTATACATTGTATCTTTAAAATTTATTTTATTATTTTATAATGAAGGTATGAATAATATTATACACACATAAACATATAGCAATTTCCTGGTTTTTTTTCTTTGGTAGTAGTACAATATAAATATGGATAAATTATATTTAAATTGAAATTATTTAAGTAACTACACACTGGTATAAAGTGAGACTATAATCTTATATATGGAATACATTCATGAATTTTAATTATGTTTTTAATTGCTTTTCTATTATTAACCCGTGATATTAATATAAGCCCAACATTTTTTTTTTTGAGATTGGTACATTCATATTATATAGAAAGATGATGGGATGCCTATAAGAAACTTAAATTTTAAATCTGGAATGTAGAAATTTGGAATTTCAAAATAGTACATCTATACATATCTGGAAATAATTATTTGGAATTTTAAAATTATATTTCCATAGAAATCTAGAATATGTATGTTTGACTGCCTATAACATGATCCTGATTCCCCTAATAAATAAGACTTAATATTGTCAGATAATACATTGTGAATTCCTATCAATTGCTCCTGTGATCAGGGCAGTATTTCAATTAAAAGCTTATAAGTATTCTGAATACATTTGAAGGATGTTACCGAATTTTCTTAACATAATTATTGCTACTCTTAGAGTTTTAAAATAGGTTGAAACACAATGCACCTAAGAGGGCAGTTAACACATTATAGAATAGATTTCTTTGGATCTCTATTACATTGAATGCAATGAAAAAGTATAAAAAAAACCAATATAAAAAAAAGTAAGAAAACATAGACCACTTTGTTAAAAGAGACCCTACTGTAAATATATTTCTTTCATTTATGGCATTAAACAAAAAAATTTCATAACATGGTTTGATTGTTTTATTTATAATTTTAGGTATGTCAATTTCATAAACAGTAATCAAATATTGAACATTCCAGTCATTAAATATGACCCATTCACCAATCAAAAAATCAAGGAAGAAATTAAAGAGGAAACTTTCAGTGATGTTAAATATAACCATAACTATGGAACAATCCATAATATCCCTTTATTCAATCAACAAGAAATCAAACTGGAAATTACTAATGATGAGACTCAACAAAAATCTAGCAACGCTACAGTAAAAACTATACAGTTAGTAGAAAACTAAAACTAAAGAAGGAAAAAAAAAATAAAAAATAATTATCCCATTTATTTTGAGCGCAGTGATTTTAATATGATATTTATGTATAATTTTTCTATTTTAGAATCTTTGTGTAGGGAGATATCAGAAATAGTGATAAAGCATTAATTGTATTTCCTTATAGTATAATGTGTAATATCACCTACCTTTTTCTCTTTAGCATTATCATCAGTGTTGCTGTTAAGGGTTTGTTAGAGTTAAATCTCTTTTAAATTTAAGGACAGGGATATTTTATATTAGGCTAAAATTTACAAATTAATGCTTTATTACTAATATAAATACCGGCTTTAACAAAATTTTTTGTTTGTCTTAACACCTCAGAATAATGATTAATGCTATAAACACATAGCATTTTTAATTCTGAGCTATGCTCACAATTTTCTGGTTTTGGTAGTTTCGAATTAAAAATAATTACAATTTTTCTGTAAGAAAATTTGACTGAGAAGGTATCTAAAAGAGATTATTTTTCAATAGTTCCTAAAGTTTTCTTGGCAAATATGAAAAGAACAAGGAAAAACCAGGAAAATGTAGGAAAACTGGGAAAATCAGTACTACATTAAAAAAATATTACTAAAAAAAAAACAGCCGGTTTAATTAATTTACTTATATTATAACATATAAATTGATGACAAAGCATCACTATCAACTGAACTCCATTTAGATTCCTTTCTTTTGTCAGCAATGATTTATCTTTGCTTATAAAAAAGTATTTAGATACATACGAATTAAAAAATCAGAAAACATGTACCCCTATGTTAAAAGAGGATCTCTCTTTTAATTTATTTATGTCTTTTATGGCACTATACAGGAATTGCATAACATGGTTTGATTGTTTTATTTATAATTTTAGGTATGTCAATTTCATAAACAGTAATCAAATATTGAACATTCCAGTCATTAGATATGACCCATTCACCAATCAAAAAATCAAGGAAGAAATTAAGGAGGAACCTTTCAATGATGTTCAATATAACCATAACTGTGGAACAGTCCATAATATCCCTTCATCAAATCAACAAGAAATTAAACTGGAAAAGACTAATGATGAGACTCAACAAAAACTTATCAACACCACAATTGAACCTATACAGTTAGTAAAAAATTAAAACTAAAGGATTTAAAATAATAAATATAAATATTACTCAATTTATTTTTTTGTTACTTAAAGCGCAATGATTTTAATATGATGTATCTGTACAATTTTTCTTTTTTAGATTCTGATTGTAGGAAGAAAATCCATTGATTTTACTATGATGTTATAGTTTTTTTTTATATTTGTCAAAAGGTCTCTTTTTTTATTACATTTTGGATCTAGATGGTACCAACTGGAAAAGTTAATTTTTTAATATTAAAAAAGGTTTATATAAAATAATTGGCAAAAACCGGAAAAATGTTTTAAAAAAGCGATTTGATATGTCTCCATGTTGTAGTGTTATCGATTTTATCATTTTCAATTTTTAAAATGTATGTTTTCTGTAAGAAATCTTTCTACAATCAAAAAAAGACAAAATACCTTTTTAATTTCAATTTTTATTTAATTAGTTATTAAAAAATGTTTGTCAATTTTTTCCATCGTTCTCTTTGTAATTGAAAAACATGGAGTAATAAACTTAACGTAAAGTAAATAAATAGAATAAATAAGTAAATAAAGTAAAATAAACATTTAAGAACGTTAACAGAAATAATAAGTCACGATAAGTTGTACTTAGTTGTGAACAAATAAAAGTTTAGTGTAATGCAGACGTTTTTTTATATGAGTTGGGTTAAAATTTTGACGAAAATCATAAAAATGATTGCACATCTAAATGTTTATAACTGCTCAGAATCATTTTTCGTTAGCAATGGATTATTATTAATTACAGAAATAAATATAATACCTTTATATTATATTATCCTACCTTTCTAACTTTTCATCTGTAATACTGATGCACCATCTATTATCAATATCAGCTCTTTTTTTTTGAAATACACTTAATTAAAATATTTTCTTTTAATATTTTGTTTTTTTTTTTCATATAGAGCTATTGAAAAAGAAATCATTAAGAATCATGAATTGGAATCAAACACCATCAAAAGTGACAATGTTTTTTATACAGAACACCCCGAATCTAATGCTGAAAATGAGTAAGTATTAAATTGTATTCTACGCTGATTTTTGTATTAAGTATTCATATTAAAAATGTTGGATATGTTGGATATAAAATTGCTGATATGTTTTTAATATAAAAACTTGTATTATAGAAAAAACTCACGTCCTTTAATGTAGTCGGATTTCATTGATTTATTTCATTTTAAAAAGAGAACATTTTGCAAATCGAATAGAAGATTTATTTTCAAAATTCTAATTATTGAAGCTAAAATATGCATTTGAATAATGCTAATATTGGTTCATATTTTTCTAGCGCTATTCTAAGTCAAATGAAAATTCGGCTTCAATCGTGAAAAAAGTTCTCTTCTTTTAAATAAAAAAAAAAAAAAACACTAAAAAATTAGTATTTTAATTGATAAATTCCACAAACAGTAAAATAGCTGTCACGTTTTTGGTTACATCGAGTGTCTCTTCTAAGGTAATCTACTTTGTGTTGACACCGCTCACAACCGGTTCTTGCATTCGGACGCGTTATCTACCAGGTGATCCACTTAAATGTGAATACCCATTATTTCGTTTAGTGTCAGAATTTCTAAAATTGTAATTAGGTAAATCGAATTCCAGAGCCTATTGGGAATTTTGGAAAGATATGCTATTGTGGACTTTGTTTTCATAATCTCATTGATAAAAATTAAAATCAATGATAATATCAACGTACTATTTTATATTCGGAATGTAGTAAGGAATTTACTTGTTTTACTATGATGTGTGTGTATTTTTTAGATTTGCAACGAAGTATTAGTATTATTTGTTACTTAAAATTTGGAACAAAGCATTTTAATTTGACTTCAAGCTTTTTTGATCAAGCACCATTATGAATGACAGTATTCATAGGACTCGTTCTTTAAATATAAATCATTTTAAATAATTTATTATTATTATTATTTTGAAATACCTAATAATTTGTGATTGCACATTTCAAATTGATTTATTTACTATATTGTAATTATATATTGGTTCTGATATAAGAATTATTTAATTTAAATAGATTTACATTTGTATAAAAACAACGTATATACACATAAACTCTATTTCGTCTAGAATATTAGATTATTTTAAGAATCACCCCGAGAAAAATAAAATAATGGAGGAGTTGGGATTTATATATTTGTGGCTAAAAATTGTATTTTTTGTTTTGATTGAAACCTAATTACCAATTTTCAGATTTTTATGACTTATTAAAAACTATTAAAAATTTGGAGTATGTCACCCTTCGCCTACCACATCCTCGATGCCTCCCTTTTGAGATAGCCCTGGTTATATTCGTTAAAATTATTAAGGAAGTACATTACTAATTTATCTTAGGATAAAAATGACTCCGTATAGCTCTGCAGTTAAGCCTCTTCCTCTGCTGTTAGTATCATTGCTTCCCAAGCTGTTTCATTAGTGAACTTATGAATATCCTCGTGTAATTTCTGATACAAATTATTGCACATATTAGGCACATTCATAATAGCACAGAGAGTTTTAAGCTGAACAAAACCTTGCCCATCATTGTTCTTATGTTAACGTTCATTAAAGACAACTTTGAATTTTCAGATTTAACAACCTAATATTTGCGACACATATTATATGTAAACAAAATTCACTTAAAAAATCGGTCTTTTGCTCTATGATGGTTGATTTGAGTAATGTATTTTTACTTTTTATTTAATAGGTACATAGATATTATTATGAGGATAAAATTATAGTAATGATTGAAAATTTAATTCGAAGTTCATAACAAGTTGTACTTAGTCGTCAAAAAAGTTGAACTTAATGTAGTATATTTGGATATGCGTTTTAAGATCAAATTTTGATTTACAACATTTAAAAATATATTAGGGAAGATGGGGGAATCCCGGTCATATCTCATGAAATCTTATAGATACAAATTAGATTTAATTGTGTTTAAACCTAATATCAGATTTTTCTAAGTTACAAAAACAATTTTTCCGGCTAAAAATCGTATGCCATTCTTGATTAAAATTAATCTATAGATTTTGAACGATAGCGAAATTTACTGCGAAATCTGCTCAATGAATTTCGTTTAGATCGTTTAGCCGTGTTCAGACTCAGCTATATAGGTGATCGTCTTTTCACTATAAACGAATCTTGTGTATTATAACTCATTTCTGTTCTGGAACATTAAAAATTAACTATAAACCACTAGTCGACGAAGTTGGTAAATTAAATGAGTGCTAAAACCAATAATACAAGAAAAGAAAAAAAGAATTCCTTTTTCAAAAATATTGTAAAATGCTTCACACAGTTTTCAACTGCCATATAAAAACATGAATATCTCTATCTCCTTCTACCGCAACCGGTTGTACCTTTAATAAAGTGGTCTGTTGTAGATCACTTTGTATACAAACTAAATATGATTACATTATTTGTTAATAACTATTAAGACTTGTTGATTGCATATATTTATAATAGGTCATTAGTTTTTAACAAAAACAAAACACCATATAAATTTATGCCTAGTAGCTAGAGAATACAAAGTAGTTTGTGGAAAGAGTATTTTTTTGTTATGCATATGTACAGACCATATGGACCAGCTTTCGATATGCTATATAAATAACTTTTATTTATTTAGTTTATATATAGTTTATTTAAAATTGCAAGATAGATAGCTGGAATTTCGGTGATTATATTTGTTTAGTGAGTTGTATAATATACGTTGATGAAAATGGTACTGTTTATCGAAAAGTTGTAACAGGAATGAAGTTAATAATTATTACTGCTAAAACCAAAAAGAAAAAGAGAATTGCGATTTAAAACATTTGAATAGCATACTATTAATTATAAGAATAAGTAATGATAAATAATAACATACTCTCTGGTTTTTTTTTTTATCCTAACAGAATTAACAAAAAAGAAATGATTGAAAAATACCAACAGAAACCAAAACTTATCAGATATAAAAACACTCTCTACACAGATCAACTCAATGATGATGTTGTAGAACATATGGGCTATGAAAATAGTTCATGTAGTTTAGAGTAAGTACTAAGCGAGTAAAATAAATAAAAGTATTGTTAATAAATTATTAAATAAATAAATCATAAATTAATACAAGTCCATGTACTTATTACACTGCTATCACAAAAAACAAATAAACAGATATTATATGCGTAGTAGATAGGCGTATACTAGAAGTAATTTCAACGTTAGTAGCAGTGCAATCAGGTGTATGGGGCTTGGAGTTAATCTAGCTCCCTCTCTTAAAATTTGAGATTTGTTTTATAAATGCTACGTAATGAGTATATAACCGGTATTTATGTTGTTAATAATACTCCAAGTTATTTATGTCGTTGATGCATTATAAAATATGAGTTTTTCGCCCTATGGTACCTTATTTAAAACATTTTTCTATATTCTCAATGCATTATATAAACAATTTAAAACAACTGACGACAAATGACTGTACATTAGTTTTGTTTTGTTAATTTTCGCGTTATTTTAACCATCAGTGTCATTTAAATAAATAAAATGTGTTGAGATCTAAAATTTTAAATTCTGAGTTTAATAAAGAGTGATTGAACTTGGATTTACTGTCTATAGGCAACTTAACATCAGAAAACAAACTTCAAAAGATAATTTTTGGTTTTAGTCTTATTTAAACAAGTGTTGTACACTTATTTTTGTGGTTTTGGAATTCAGGCTGTACTGCAATGAAAAAAAATAAATATTTATAGATATCTATAAATAGGTACCTATAATATAATTTTTGATTTATAATCTAGCTATACAAAAACGTATATTTTCAATGTTTTGTGATTTTTTGATATTTGCAGCGATGAAGAACAAAATATTTGCGGTGATTGTAATAAAATATATGCAAAAAAATTAAAATTTTTCCCTCATGAAAGTGATTCGAGTGAACAAGTTTACGAGTGTGAATTTTGTATGGTAACATTTAAACAAATATCACGTTTAGTTCAGCATGAAAGATTGCACGTACAGGGAAATTCTTTTAATTGTAATATTTGTTGTAAACAATTTTTGTTAAAATCAAAATTATTAATGCATAAAAAATTACACGCAATCCAAACTTATACGTGTCAAATTTGTAAGATGGGATTTAAACAAAAATCATATTTATACGCACATGAACAAATACACACAGGACAACTTTTTACGTGCCCAATTTGTAAGAAGCGTTTTAATACAAGATCAAAATTGTCCAGACATGAAAGAATACACACGGAAGATAAACGATTTGTGTGTCAAGTTTGTAAGAAGCAGTTTACTGAAAAATCAAAATTGTCTAGACACGAAAAAATTCATAAGAGGAAAAGATCCTTCAAATGTGGTATTTTTTGTTGTAAGGACTTGTGTCAAAAATCGCAATCAAATCACGAACAAAAAAATCACAAAGGTAAAAAAATTATTGATTTGTTTAATGAAAATGTTATTTATTTAGAAAATGAATTGTAAATATTATATTTTATGTATAGGGTGATCGACATAACGTAAGACACTTATTATCTGAGAAAGTATTAATTTTTTCGAAATTAGCTTTTTAGAACATTTACGAAATTAGTAACTTTTAAGTGTTAGATTAGTCATCCTTATTTTAGGGAGTGAAATCACTACCTACTTTTGCTTTTGATTTTCAAATGGCAACCTTAACTAAAAATTCCATTAATAGATGGATTTAATAGTTTAAATAAATTTTGGTACTGTCAAGATATTTCAGTTTTAAGTCTCACTAGGGGGGAGGGAAGTGTGAAACCCTATTAAAACGCTATACGTTATGTTGTCGCACAAATGATACACCACTATTCTCCCCCCGCCGAAAAATTAAAGGAAATTAAAGGAAAAGGAAAAAACTTATTTAGATTATTAGAACAACGTTTGTCTGGCCATTTAAAAATATCCGAAAATTGTATAATAATTATGATAATATTATGCTAACAAATTTAAAAAAAATACAGGAAAACCATTTTTTTGAATCCGAGTTTTATTGGGTGAGTACCTCACCCTACAACCGTGCACCATGTGTTAGCCTATGGATAGTTAGGAAGCGCGGAGGTTCAGGAGTTTCCGGAGCGGCAAGCCGGTCTGGCGTTTTCCTCGTTCTGAGGACCACAAGCACCGCGGAACTCCGAAACAACGAAGATTCGGGTACCAATGGGTTAGGGCCAAGCGCTGCCCATTCCCCACCGTTTGTACGGTTGCAGCCTACCTCACTGCTTTCCGTTTTTAATCCCGGACAACCTTCGGTGTGGTGTTAGCCCACCGATAGTCTGAGTAAGCACCAGGGAGATACCCCGGTTCGCAGCCGAGGCTGCTTGCAAGGCCATTCGACCTAGAGCTTTCCTCGAGTCAGTATGACCCATAATCACAGAGTCACTTATGATAAAATACACCCGTCTTACTCCTTTTTTTTATTTTTGCTTCTTCTTCTTTAACATCTATTTGTATTAAGACTGTTTGGCTTTTATACATATTAGAGATAAATCTTCTATCGTTATATTTAATTCCTATTCTTTTTATTCTATTTAAAAATAATTCCTCCCATTGTTATTTGTCAAAAGACATTTCCAAGTCTACAAAAGCAATAAAGTTTTCTTTATTCCATCTAATCTCTTTTTCTACCATTATCCTTAGTGCCAAGGTCGTCTCTCTAGTTCCTATATTTTGTTTGAAACCAAACTGATCATCACCTAGATTTACATCAAATGCATTTCATATTTGCAAATTTTGCATTTCACGTTTTATAATCAACGCAAAACAATTAATGCTACATTTGAAAATGATAGCTGCAATTAAAGTGTATGATATAGTTCAGCAGTTTGTAAATCAAAATTTTCATGTTTAACTTGAATTGAAAATCCATATAGGCTATCGTTGAAATATTACTGATTTTGACATGGCTTTATTAGCTTTTGAATTCAAATTGACTGAAAACATAAACATAAAACAATTGTGAATGGATTTCTACAACGAAAAAATACTGAAAATTTATTAATAACTTAATAAATAAAACATTAACAAAAATAAATACAAAATTATACTGTAAACCATAATTCTCAAATCATTATTTAATTAATATTATATTATTTTCACTATTATTATTATTTCTGTGATTTAGTGCAAGAAAGGTCATTGTCAATTTTTTGAAAATATCAGTTAGAAATAAAAAAAGAAAAAGTGCACAATTTTTTATTTTCTAAACAAAAATTGTTTAAGTTATGTAAAAATTGAAAATTAAAAACATTTACATTTAATAAAATACACAGAGCATTATGACGAGTTAAAATTTCAAAGTCCATTTTCCAACAATCACAAAATGTGACATTGGCACTGCTTGCATCAAGTTATAGATTTAATCATAAATTTAATAATAAAACACCTACACCATATCGTCCCAGAACCTTCAAATTATTTATGCAAATTAATTAGCTATTCAGGCATTATTGTGCAGTTGCTATAACTAATCGATATGTCTAAATAACAGCTCCAATATCTTCCATATTTTAATCATCACAAAACTCTCATTATCTTTAATATTTAAATTTCTTCAACACAATTTCTAGATATTATATGCATTTGATATATTATAACGAAAATTAAATTAATTTTTTTACCTATTTTGGAATACAAATGCATACTTGTAATTAAGTATCCAATAACTCGTAGTTATTGAACTACTCTTTCCTACCTGCTGACCATGTGGACATTTACTCCAGAATCAATAAACCAATTTTTCTGAATCACTTATCTTATTCTCAGTTAATTTCGTTCCAATCAAGGCATTTTCTGAGATTAATTTATTTTTATTTCTTTCATTTTTGAAAATTCTGCAATCACGTTTCTAATGTCTCGGTTTTTTACTATAATTTCATTCACCCGGTTTATTATCATTTCTAGATTTTTCATATAATTATCTTTTGAGTCTTTTTGCTTTACAGAAATCAAAAATTTTAACACTAAAATTTATTTTAACTAATAATCCATCGATTTATGGAATTTTTAATATAGGTTGCTATTTGAAAATCAAAAGTAGATAGTGGTTTTAACCCCAAAAATAATATAAATATAAAATTGTAGAGCAGCTTGTTTCTTAAATGTTTTAAAAAATAAATTATAAACAAAGTTAATATTTTCCGTGATAATGAGTGTACCTACTTAAATGGATCACTTGGTTTGACATTAAATTACTTATTATTCTTTGTTTCTGTCACATTCGTTCTGGTATTTGTAAAACTGGTGGATCCCCTGAAAATCATTTAATAATATAGAAGCTCTATGAAATATGATCACATATGGTATTAAATAAATTTGAATTACTCTTAGTAAAAGTAGTATTTAAAGTTACTTATCATTAATAATTCTTGGATATGCTTTGCTGCCGATAGTAATTTGATTTATTCGTATACAATGTTGTTTTTTTTTTCAAAATTAATACTTAAGTGTTATAAGTAGCTTTTTAGGTAACCTTATGTACACTGCAGTGTCTGCAATCAATACACAATTTATGTGCATTTGAAAAATATAAAACATGTATATTCTCAATTCTCATAACTAATTGATCAATCTTTTCAGAAAATTTCAAGGAGATCGTTGCAGTAGGAGGAACTGCAGCTGTTGCCTCTTGCACTATTACTAGCGGCGACCCATTTCCATAGTAGCAGTAATAAATGTAATATTTTCGCTAATATATTATGCACACGCTTTTTATTGGTAAATATATTATTATTAAATATTGATAATACCAGAATATTAATAGTTCATTCTCACATTGCTGACTCCCTTTTGCCGACAACATTTTCCTTTGTTAATTCTTATCTGTGATATACATTGCTTGAAGTACACTCACTTATGACTCCATTCCACTATCGCTCATAAAAAAAAAACTAGTTTTCGTTGTCGTTTTTGCAGGAATTACACTAGTTTTCTTAAATTGTAGACTAGACTTAAATAATACAATTGATACGGAAACTAAAAAAAATCTATCTATCTATCTAGTCGTTGATTACCTATTGTTACTGTCAATAGTTTTTGTATTTTCGATAATACTAAATTTATATATGAGTATTTACTTTAGCTTATGCTGCGGTTGCGTCGCTGGAATTTGTTTAGCAATAATAATTTGATTGTAACAATAATTTTTCATTTCAAAACGATTATATTATAACCGATTTATGGGTCGGTAAAATTGTAAGATTTTTAATACCTTATAAATCCGGTTTATTTACTGGAAAAATGGGAGTCAGTGACGTGGAAAGACACGGTATTAATTAATTTGTATGCTACATTTTGTAATTATTATTATTTTAATTCGATACTTAAAAATTGTTTTATATACCTGTAAAGATAACTAATAAAAATAATATGTACCGAGGGCACCCAAAGGTGAAAACAGTTTAAAAAAATGTATTTAGGTGAAATGTATTTCAGAGGCCCCAGCAACCAAAATAACTAAAAATAACTAAATATTAATAGTCCATTTTGTATCTCAAATTATGGTTAACGTAAGTTTTTATTTTTGTGATGAAATATTCATTTGGTTTGGTAACTAAACTTTGGCCCTAATAAAGCGGCCCTATATTTAATTTCTAAAAGAAGTCTGAGAAGTCTCAAGGATTTAATGCTACCGGGTAAAAATGTTTTATAACTTTATTTAAACACAGATTACGACTTTTAGGAGGGAGTCCACCTTACCACCTGTATATGTGCCCTTGATAGGTATCTATATACGTTTTTACCGATTACTATTAGTTTTTTACTTCTTTTAGCTTATTTGAGTTCTTCACACAAACGCATTTTAATTTAATGAGGAAGGTGATCAAATCAACTACGGATGAACGGCGGGTAATAAGGAACCCAGCGAGCCAGGCGGACAGCACCATACTATAATATAACCTTTGTAATGCAAGAAGAATATATTTCATTTAGCTATATAAATAGTTTGGAAAACCAAACTCTTATAAAAAATAAAATATATGTATTTAAAAATTAAAAATAAATAGTTGCCTTTTAGATTCTGAATATAGTGAAGAACCTTATGGTTTTACAAATATGTTTATTTATTTATTTCTTATTATTTTAAATAGTTTATTTTTCGATTTTCCCAAGAGTTTTCTCAAGAAATGTGAAAACCGAAAAAATCGGAGGAAACCGGTAAAATGTACGAAATGTAGGTATTGGTTAAAAGTATACGATTTTTTTACCTATTTAATTTACAAATCTAGATTAACCTATCAAGAATTTTAAAAGCAAAGTCTAAAATATTTGTAAATATCATTATTTAGTAATCTTTAGTTTTATTTAATGCAGTTCTTTATTTTTTTGCGAGTAATTTGATTATAAAAACTAAACAAATATTAGTGTTTACTTAATGGATTGCATACCTCAAAGTATTAGTGTAAATTTAAAATTCACTTATCGATCATCAAAATAAAGCCATAACTCACAAAGTACAAACTACA